CAATAGTTTTGAGTCTGATAGAGACCAGAGAGAAAGACCATAAAGAGACCAGAGAGAGACCAGAGAGAGAGAGACCATAAAGAGACCAGAGAGACACCAGAGAGAGAGAGACCAGAGAGAGAGACTAGAGAGAGACCAGAGACAGACCAGAGAGACACCAGAGAGAGACCAGAGAGAGACCAGAGAGAGAGACCATAAAGAGACCAGAGAGACACCAGAGAGAGACCAGAGAGAGACCATAAAGAGACCAGAGAAAGATCAGAGAGACACCAGAGAGAGACCAGAGAGAGACCAGAGAGAGACCAGAGAGAGACCATAAAGAGACCAGAGAGAGACCAGAGAGACACCAGAGAGAGACCAGAGAGAGACCAGAGAGAGACCTGAGAGAGAGACCATAAAGAACTATGTAGCATCAGTCATTGGACAAACCTACTCATAGACCACATCTCAACAGAAAAAAATACATCCCACAGAGGGGGGCATATATCGGCCTTCAATGAAACATGGGCATCATTCATCGCACATTTTCAGTTGTTATTATTAACAAAGCCACTCGCATCACAACAGGACAAGAAAAACAGTCACGCCACTCTCCATCACTATCCAAAAATAATAATACTTATACATTTTAATCCTCTATCATGTGTTGCTTATATCTCACACTCCCTTTTTATTTTTTATTTTTCTCTCTCTTTCTTCTCCCTCTCTCCCATATTTTCTATCTATCCGTTTAAACCCATCTTGACTGTCATTACCGCCAACACCGGTTATCAACTTATTTCACCTTAGCCCCGATCCCAGCCACCGCCACCCTTTGTGTTTTTAATGCACCACACACTAAGGAATAGAAACTTAATAAGGGGGAAATAAATACATATACACACAACGCAAGGGACTCAGGACACATGAGGAGAAGGTGAAGCAGTGCACCTGCTCCAACAATCCCCATGTCCCATCTCCCTCCCTCCCTCCCCATATGGTAATGTTTCATGTTGTCTCAATATTTGTCTCTCTTTGTATGTCCCAAGCAAGCCCCGGCGATCCAAGATGGCGCCCTATTCAAATGAATGGTTGTGCTCAGTGGCGCTTTGTGACGGTATGGGGGCTGAAAGATTAGCGGAAGTCGCCTGGAACTTGCAAAGATCTATGGGAAACTCTCAAAGATCTATGGGAAACTCGCAAAGATCTATGGGAAACTCGCCTGTATTTGGGCATCGTCTGGTCCTCCCGGTTCTGCGCAGTGGATGATCTCCCATGATGCTTTGCGCCAAACACGCGTGTGTGGGTCTCACACCGGGTCTCACGCACGTGCACAGAGGGGCTCGGCCGCGCTCTGACCAATCAGAGCAGTTCATCAGAGCGGGAGTTAGAGCGAGAGCCAGAGGAGCAGAGTTTGTGGCACTAAAGTGTGGATTTAAACAAAACCGAAGGATTTAAGAAGAAAAGAAGTTCAGGATGACAAGGGACACTAAAATCCCCACAAAATCCGACCTTTATTAAAGCTGTAGGTTCTCTGTCAGGTTCTCTGTCAGGTTCTCTGTCAGCTGAGGTTGAGCTGTTTTAATATGCATTGAGTTCTATGGGGAAAATGTCTGGGTAGCCCGCGTGAATTTAGTCTGGTTCAGTCTGCAGTACCGCGAGAATCCCCTGAGTACATGAGTTATTCAGCTACAAGCTAGTAATACCCTATCCAGTTATTATAATAGATCCATGGTCCCAAGCCCCGGCGATTCAAGATGGCGCCCTATTCAAATGAATGGTTGTGCTCAGTGGCGCTTTGTGACGGCATGGGGGCTGAAACATTAGCGGAAGTCGCCTGGAACCGGTTTGTCCCCATGTTTTGTCGCTGCTTCAACATTCTTTTTGCCGTTGTACCAATCATTTTCACTTTTGTGTGTCTATGTATCACTCTTGTATGTCTATGTATCACTCTTGTATGTCTATGTATCACTCTTGTATGTCTATGTATCACTTAATAATAAAATAAAATAATAAATAAATAAAAAATAAAAAAATAAAATAGCAAAATTAAATATTGGTTTTCTCTTCCTGTGAAATTCAACTTGGTCTAATAAACTTTCTATTTAGATAATTAGATTTGATTCTCTATTTCTCCCACTGATTCTCGTGACTGTGGTTTAGTCCGACCTTGGGAAACAGGCCCCAAACTAAACTTATTCAATTAGATGGGGATGAATTCTTTCCAATGACAGAAACAAAACAGTCTTAATTTTCCACGTGGGTTTCAATTAAATCACAAACGTGGAGCGTTCATTTATGGCAGGTCAGACTTAGATTCCATGGAGTCAAAGCTTCATGTGCACTCTCTCTCTCACGACGGGGAAACGCGATCCAGGTATGAAGAAATGGAGCAGGACAACACCGCGCTCTAGTGGCCAAAATTAGTCATTGCATTTTGGGATTTGTCAAAACCACAAATAGAAACCGAGAAAAAATGTACCCAAAAAAAAGTTATATTTCTAGTATTCTCTTCTTCTTGGCCTTTGTAGTTTTAATTGGAATTTATCTACAATTAGTAGTATTTCCATGTGACAAGCAGGTGTTCAGGGGGACGACAATTGCACTAGTGGCATGGGGGAAACCGGAGCACTTGGAGGAAAGCTAGACGCTGAGAGAAAATGCAAACTCCACATAGAAAGCTCTGGAGGTGGAATTACACTCAAGACCTTTTAGCTGCGAAACATAAGTGCTGGGTCAATGATTTAATATCAGATTTGTAAACATATATAAAATTTCTTTTTGAATTGTGAGACCAGAGAAACCAGTTCGTGAGTTAAAGGTAGAACTCACATTTCATACATAAAAGATAATTTCATAAAAGTAATGACAGAAATGAACTACATAGAAACAGAAAAAGTCATAAAGTTATGTAAAGCGCAAAATGTACATGAGTAAACGCCGTCGTTTTGACTGCTCTGAGAGTTTTGCAGTAGAATTCTTTCCACCCGATCCCTTGTTGGAAGTCAGACCAGAATGGGCAGATTCTCATGAGGAAAATATAGGATCCCTATCTTCTGTTACATTCTCACAGAATGCACATTTATCCACATAAATCTACGCCTAAAGGTCGACTGACACATTTGCTATATCTGTGGAGAATATTTGTAATTTTTGTATGATATTACATTTATTATTTATGACAACTTTCGGTCTGGACCATGTCTGGACAAGAAGTAAGGGTCTAGTGCTAAATCAGCTTGTCGAGACTATGGTCAAGACAAAAACAAAGTCTTGACAAGTAAAACAAAAGTCTAACTTCAGTTGACACACGGAATAATGTATGTATTAATGTGAAAAGTGTAAAGATAGTAGACTTTGATAAATAGTCAATTAAAATCAGATAATGAGTACACTGGCGATTTTGCATTTATGTTTCCAGCTCTTACGTTGTTACGTGATTCAAGGAATGGACCAAATGAAATGTATTTGACCCTCAGTTCTGGCTTAAACCTACAAATCAACTGGATGCTATACTTTAATAAAAAATAAAAAATAAATTAATAAAATGTGTGCCATTGAAATATTTACAGTCTGTCGCCATAGATTAAACGACTACCACGGACTGTATACATAGTTCCTACATGACGTCACTACATACGGGGATTTGCCGACCCGGCGCCATTTGTGTTGGCATTCTGTGGGCAAAACAATAGAAAAAGAAGCTGAAACGTGTTAATGTCGTGATAAAGTTGAAAATGGTCATCTCCTGCTGGGTCAATGGATGTTCAAATCGTGCCGGAGGTTCCGTTAAACTTGGATTTTACAGTATACCCATCATTAGACTTCATGAATGTGAGAAGACTAAGCTTTTGTCAGAACAACCACGGAGGTTATGGCTTGCGAAGATAAACAGGCAAGAAACTCCCTCAAAACACGCAAGAATATGCTCGGAGCACTTTGTGTCAGGTGCGTATCGTTTTATAATGTGTTGACAGACGTAATTTACTCAGTACTAACTTGTGTATGCTGATATCTGGTAACTTGAGTGTTTCATTATTTAGCGTTAGATTACTTTATTATGAGGAGGATCGGTGTCGCGTCCGAGGCTCTCGAGGGCAACGTAAATGTATTAAATAGATAATAATAGTTCTATGGTGGGCTAAAACAATGTTCACAAACAGCATTGCTTCTGTAAAAAGATCTGTGTCATAAAATAAACTGCTCTTTACGCCTGGAAAAATCAGTTGCCCACCATTCACCAAAACATACGGTCAAAAACGCGGAAATAAACAATAACAGCAATCCAGAGTGTCCGTGTGGCATTAGCATTAATTAAATTAATTGTTAATATAATTAAAATAATTAAATGGAGCTCCAACTGGTATTAAATCTAAAGTTTTTGAGAAATGTTTGCATTGCTTGTTAATTTTTGCTGCATAATTTGATCAAATATGTAAAACATGTCCGTAAAACTGTGGTGCCATTGTATTAATATACAATTATTTGCTCAAAAGTTGCCCTTTTTTTCCAATTTGCGTTTGAATATCTACATTTATTCTCATTCTTCTGTTTAATGGAATGCACAAACACAGCAGCGTGCCATCAAAGATGGCGTCTCCGAGGAGGTCATGTGACATTCATTGGTCTGTGGGAACTATGTATATCGACTACGCGCCGGTGTGACGTCATGACGCCTCGCCCCCAGGTGCTGTGCACACGTGCGTCGCTCTTGTACTTGTCTGTGGATTTGTTTCCGAAAACAATAGGATTTATATTGAATATTTCTATTTCAGTATGGTATCCATGTTAGCTCATTTTAGCTTCTGTTAGCTCCAGACATTATTTATTATTGAGTTTCAGTCCGTAAGCCGCGCCAAGAGGTAAGGTAGCATTGGGAGCTAATATGCTAACAGTCTGTGATGCTGACGCGTTGCTGCCGTGCACAGAGCATCAGCATGGGTGGTTGTACTTTACCAGTGCTGTGCCTTTACCAGTCTTGTTGTCGTAGTTAACCCCGGGAGAGTGGAAGAGGAGCGGTCATGCTCACTGCGGTTCGCTGCGTGTTTACCAAACTCATGTCTCCTTTCTGGAGGTCTGTGGAGGAGGACAGCTGCTCAGACGGACCCTTCTCAGGAGCCACAGGTGGATACGTCTATTCTCTCGGCTTAAATTTAGGAATATATATATAATGTATACATTTATGGTAGCAAAGTTCTGGGAATTTTCGGAGAGGAAAATGTTCCTTGGGAATAAACTGGGAATGGAATCTGTTGAAAAAAAATGAAATGCATGCTTTCTTATGACTTCTCTTTACTTATGCTGTAATCAGAATCAGAATCATTTTTATTGCCACGTAAGTAACAGGAGGTCACAGACTAGGAAATTGCTTTGGCTCAGTGCAACAGTCAAAAAGAGATAATAAAAATAAGAATAAAAAACACTTCTAAAGAATAAATTTAAATGTAAAATAGAGTTACAGTTACTATTTACAATATTCAAGTGCACATGGTGCACACAATGTAAGGTGACAGCAGTACAGTGAAGTAAAGTGACGTATGATGGGCAGTAAAGTGACTTTATAAAGGGCGGGGGGACAGGTTAAGAAGTGTTCAAGAGTCCAACAGCAGAGGGGAAGAAACTGTTCTTGTGGCGGGAGGTTCTAGTATGATATAGAGTAATAGCCTAAACCTTATTAATTCCCTGTTAATTCCCCTAAATTCCCATTCATTCCCATTATTTGCATTCTTCCCATGGAAATGCTCAGTATTCAGCCACTCTACCCCAAACTCTGGAACACCATCGATTCACCTGTGACATCTCGAAATTACCTGTTCTTGTGCTACCCTCGGGTTAGCGATGAAACGTAGGAGGAAAATGCCCTAAAATAGGGTCTAAAACTGTCTACATGATCCAGGGAATCGGCTCTAAAAAAATATGTATCGTATTCTTTACCCTGTGGTAGACCAATATTCTTCAAAATGATGTGATCCAGACAATTTTCTAATTGAAATGTTCCCTACATATGTATATATATAAAGTAGCTAGATAAAAGATGAACAGCACCAAAGCAAATGTCTTCCTTCTTGAAGCTGCAAGATGAATCGTAATCACTGAAATTGTTGATTCATTTCTTAATAAACATCACATTATCTGGTTGCAGAATATAAACCTATGATCATCCCTCTTTAAAGCACTAAATTCATGATATGAGAGTTTTATTTTCAAAAACATATCTTTGTCTAAAAGTTGTCTCTGGTCACTCTGCTTCTCTTTGTCTCTCTGTTGTCTCTTTCTCTGGTCTTTTTTTGATCTCTCTTTGGTCTTTCTCTGGTTCCTTTCTGATCTTTCTCTCTGGTCTCTGCTTTGTCGCCGGTCCCTCTCTGATCTCTTTGGTCTCGTTCTGATCTCTCTCTGGTCTCCCTCTTGTTTCTCTGTAATCTCTGGTCAGAGTTGGGGTCACTTTCTATTAGACTTTGGTAAACTGTTCAGCACAATACTTTTCCTACTGACTGAAACGCAAATATCCTCTTTCTGATTTTAACTTTTCCAACTCAAATTAACCCATATTTGTAGTTATGGAGGACATTCGCCACTTGAGAAGCAGCGTAGTGACACAGCTGTTCCAGGACTACGGCATGATCGACGGTGCCATCTACTTCACCACCGCTGAGGTCCTGGGAGGGATTCCAGTCAAACAAGGAGACCTGGTCAACTGCATCGCGGTTCGAGACGGCTCCGAGGGCGGCTGGAAAGCATTAAGGGTACGCAACTGTCTCCATGTTTGCCGTCTTGCCTTGCATGGACTGATTCTGGATTTGATCACATTATCCCCATTTTAGTATCGAGTACCGAGGCAAGATTTAATAGATGGTACAAGACAAGGGGGATTTTCTACTTCTGGGTAGATCATCAAGACTATTGGTCCTCCCAATTGTCAATCATTCTGGTGATACGTGCTCGTCAAATAAGACCAGAGTTGAAAAAATTGTCCTTTATGCCTTTAACAAAACAAGATAGAAACATAGATAATCACTGTGCATTGAAGGATACAATCCTTCAGTCGTATCCACAGCTACACATTTTAGCTGCATGAATTTGAAAAGCTGCTTGTTTGACCTGACTCTGCGACCAGCAGGAGACCAGGCCCTGTACCCCATAGATATCAGCTGAGATGTCACCCACATGGATCAGTCTGGGGGTCAGCTAGAACACCGTGTGCCCCCTCCCCCCTCTCCATGAAGAGCCATTGATAGAAGAACATAAAGAACATCTGTTTGGATGAATGTTATCAGTGACGTCATAAGCGATGTGTGTGTTTCAGGTGGAGAAGAGCGCTGATGCCTGGGAGGAAGGAGGGAAGACGTCTTTGGAGGCAGATACACAGCAGCTCCGGCCACTCATCGGCACCGTCACCTCGTACAATGGAAACGGAGGCTACATAAACCAGAACACAGTCTTCACAAAGGACTGTCTCAGTGACGGTAACAGCAGCACAACAGGGGGTCATTTATGATCCCAACTCTGACCTGGAAGTTAGTGTGAGGTTGGAGTGTGTGTGGCCCCAGTACAATAACAATATGTGTGTTTGAAATATGCCTTTTGGACTGAACTCTAAAACGCAGGGACTGGCCTTCTGCTGGGACTCTGAGGAGCACAGGGACTGGCCTCCTGCTGGGACTCTGAGGAGCACAGGGACCGGCCTCCTGCTGGTGCCCAGAGTCAGGACTAAACAAGAGGAGGCAGCGTTTCTGATAAAGTCATTCAGTCTTTCTGAAAATGCAAGACAGGTTTCTACTCAAAATGTTAAAATCCAGGTTAAAGCAGTTCTGTTTAGCTGTGCGTACAACTGAAGGATTTTAATGTACTGAGATTGTTTATTTCTATCTTGAGATAGGAGCTATACCTGTTTCTGTAAGGTTTGAATGTTTAGCCCTGCCCCCAACTCGCTCACAGGCTTCTCATTTCCCCTACGCTCTCACACCACGGAGCCATCTAGTTTTATTTACGATCTATATGCTAACATTAGCATGATCGCAACTTCTTGTACGCCAGGGGTGCTCACACTTTTTCAGCATGCGAGCTACTTATAAAAGGATCAAGTCAAAATGATCTACCTACTACAAAAATGCAAATCATATATTTATTTCAAAAAATATTCGTTATACCTACAATGTATGTTTATGTACATGCAAAACCGCATGAGCCAATTTAGCACAACACAACACAATTACCTATGTACATTTTTTGTCATTACCCGAGTTTACTCTTATGACTTTCACTGAATTGAATCGGCCAGGGATGCATAGTCCGGAAAATTGGTGGTAACTCGCTGGCAAGTTTATCGTGGTTTAGCTTTCCTGCACTGAGCGCGGTTGTTTGCGCATGTGCAGTCACCTAAGTGTCAGTAAAACATTACTGAGTAAAACACAGATGTCATTTGACTGTGGTGCCATGTCCATGTGCCATGCCTGTTTTTTTTTTAATCCAAATATTTCCCCTCCTCAGTTTATAAAATAATTTGCATCCACATATCTGCGTTATCAATCACATTCGTAACATTCCAAACATGTGCGTCACGTCCTGTCCTGCGTTGGGGAAAAACACAGAAGTGGGCGGAGCTTTGATGCAGACGCCGGTAACGGCACTTTTACAGTCATAGAAGACACTCAGAGTAAAGACATATGTTTACAAGCACTGACCCCGTCCTCAGCCCTGGTTTAGTCCTGGTTTAGTCCTGGTTTAGTCCTGGTTTGGTTGTTTTCGAGCGTGAGTCCCCGCCATCACTTTGCTGCTCTCTGATGTGGAGGGTGTTCGCTGCTGCGAGCATCTCACAGCGGACAGTTTTTAAGGTAGTATGATCCATGCTTCAGTGATCAGAGGAATTTAGGGGGGTACTGTGGCGTGCGAGAACGCAAAACTCCGGTTATCTCTGTCTACACACAAATGCATTAACGGAGTTTTCAAAAATCTCCACTTTGCCCGGAGTTTTTTGTATATATTCGTTTAGAATGTGTAATTTTTTCATTTATTTAATGCGATCTACCAATACTACCTTTGCGATCGACTGGTAGATCGCGATCGACGTATTTAGCACCCCTGTTGTACGCTCTACCACAATCACTGATGAAATGATACAAAAGCAACACACTGCTAACAAAATATATAACTGAAAGATTACCACTAGTTTCACGCTTTAGTTCCCTCTTCACTTCCTCACTGTTGTTTGAGCTGTTTTGTTGCGTCTTCAGTTACAGCCAGAGGAGTTATAGCCACTTATGCTAACATGCTACTGTGTTTAGCAGCGCTGTAGAGGCTAGAGGACGCAGCCTCGTTCTGTGATTGGAGGAGAGCGGGCGTCACGCTAAAGCCTAGTGTATACTCGCGCTGCGCGGAGCTTACGGAGGTGACGTGACGTCACTTGCGCAACGCGTTGGTCACCGCAAGGCCCTTACGTTGCCTGCCCTGCAGCATCGAAATTTTCTAACTACGTAAGGGTCGCCGCAAGGAAGCTCCGCTGTGATTGGTCCGTGTGTGTGTATTGGAAGGAAGCACGGAGCGGCTGCAGCAGGAGCATGGACGAGGCACTATGGAGCAGAGAGCTTTGTGCTTCGAAGGAAAAGCAGTTTGGGCTCAGAGCCTGATATACAGGAGACTGTGGACTATCTAACATATATATAACTTATATCTAACATATATATAACTTATATCTAACATATATACACTCGTAAATCGTTCATGTTTGTCTCAGATATTTACCACTATTATTGTTTTGCTGTTTGTGCTGAAAACTATTTAATAATAACTGTTTCCAACAAGAACTGTGTCTTTGTTCACAGCATCACAGTTAACCCTATATGCCCGCGTGCATCGGCGCCGATGCACGCGCACATGTTTTACAAATGATCAATTTACTCGCGAATGGTAAAACGTAGCAACTTACTTTTTTTTTTCAGGGCTTTCCGAAACTAGTTTTGATTTGTCTGTGCGATGCACGGAGGATAAACTACGTTAGTCTGAAAGTCCGTGTCCAAAGCGTGACCCGTGAGGTACAAACAGCTGTGAGATACAAACACACGGGGACTGCCAAAGATCGTCAGAGAGTGAGATGTCTCACTCCTCTGTCTGTACTTGTTCTCCCACAGTTGAAACTACAGCTGCGATTGCAATAACCGGCTGAAGAGTGCGCATTATTGATAAAGACGATAATAAATACAGTAAAATGACATTATGTGTATATGATGTATATAAATATATGTATTATAAAAAATAATTGATGTTTTTTTTTTTTTTTGGCTCAGTTTCTTATGTTTTACGTTTTTTACAGCTGTGCTACAGAAGCAACCCCAGCATTATAGACAAACTGCTTCAGGAAGGGCATCAGGAGTACAGAGTTTTTTGCTTTTATAGTGGAATTTTGTAAAAAGTATAATAGTTAGAGATTCAATTTTTTCCCCCATTATCCCCAAGTCCCTAAATAACATTTCTATGCAGTGTAAAAAGTTGTTTATAGCATTTCATTGTGTTTTTTCAATACATTTTTGTTAAATTGATTTTCTGTTTGATTTTTTTTCTTTGTCTTCATGATTCCATAATTTTTATATAATTCATATGACAGCTTTACAATATGAATATTCTAAAACCCCAGGTTGTACTGAAAAAACAAAGTATACTGCTTGACTCTGCATCAAAAGATGACTGTTTTATGAACAATTATACACAAAGAAAACCAGGCGAGGAAAGTTCCCCAAAATGACCCATGTGCATAGAGGGTAAATGACTTATAAAATAATGAATCCATAAAACTATCACATAAACCTACAGTAGAAACATGTAATGAACTCAAACAGCTTTGTTTGCTATTGTTGTTCTGAAGAGGACAAAGTAGCAGCGTAAATGGGACCGCTCCTGTGTGATCGCCCTCATGTGGTTTGTTGTGGGATTACAACATTCTCCTCAAAACTCCGTAAGGGGAACGCGCCAGTATAACATCAATTGTGCTTACGTAGGTCCACCGCAACTGAACTCCAATCTTCCACTGACAGAATATGATTTATTGGGCAGTTACTTTTACTCTTTGTTGTTTCTTCTGACATTTGTATGACTTGTCGTTTGAGCGTTCCGTCTTCTCGCCCGCAGGGTACGAGCCGATGAAGGGGGATTGGGTCCAGGCCAAATACGTCATTAACCCGGGCCAGTGGACCACACAGGCTCGCTCTGTGGCTCCCCTGCGCTACAGCCGCCTGGACAAGGTAATGCGGCAATTACTGAAATTCGGGTCATTTAGCTTTCGGCAGCAGTCGATGATGGAGTCAATTCAGTTTCTTATCAAATCCCACATGTAACAGATTTCTACTTTTGTCTGGTGGGATCACAAAGTCTTTTGAAGAATATTTTAGGAAAACCATTAAAGTAGCACTACTACTGTGCATAAAGTTCTCTAGTATATAACCTCTGGATTTTGTCGCTGTTTCCCCAAATAAGAACAAAACTTGAACCTAATGTCCAAACAAGGCTTGACACACTTCAAATGCAGTGTTAACTAGAAAAGTACTCGTAGAGCGCAAATGTTTGCCAAGAGGCCACTATACATTCCCCCAACCACATAACCCTTGTGCTACCCTTGGGTCAAAATGACCTGCCACAGTGTTCAAGTAGAAGAAAACCCTAAAGTATGATCTAAAAGGATCTAAATCACCCTCAAGTTAGAAAAAGTCATAAAAATTCAGCTCAAAAACCAATTATTTAGGAAAGGGCTGCACGATACATCAAAAAAATATTGTTATTGCGATATTGGTGCGTGCAATATCCATATCAAAAAGATGTGCAATAAAAATAAATTTAAAGACAACAAAACAGACACATCAACATTAAGCAAGAACAACAAACAACCAAGTATATAAATATATGCATTTGAAGGTCATTAATGTTGTCCTTATTTATTAGACAAAAATATTGCAATAATACCGTTATAGAAAGACTAAACACTCGTATCAGATATCGCTCTTATTTCCGATATCGTGCAGCCCTATTTTCGGATATTGTGACTCGAGGAGCTCAGAAGAGAGCCGCTGTTGAGTTCAGGTCTGTTTGGGATGCCTCCGGGGTCTACTGGGAGAAGACAAGGGGAAGACCCAAAAGATCAGAGGTTGGGAACCTTTTAGCAGAGAAAGGCAAATAAGTCTTATACTTTGAAATCTATTAGGGAGCCATACATTTAACTGTAAATCTGTGATATTTAAGATGATTAAAATATTTCAAGCAATATATTTGTCTGAAAAGGTTTTTTTTTTTTTTTTTTTAAATGTTCCTATTGAAGAAATCAAATACTTAAAAGATTCTTAGTAATAATGCCACTAGGATGTTTCTGAGAGTCAGATGATCATCAATCTTCATACATCTAGCTCCTGAGCAATAGGTTCCTGACCTCTGAGCTGGAGTGAGCTGAAGGGACGGTGTCTCTCAGCTGGACTGGGAAAGGCTCATTATAATAGTTTGTGGAGAGGGAAGTCTGGAACATGGACGGATATATAGACGTTTTAAAGATGCCACACTGACTGGAGTTACACTGATGCCTCAGTTCGGTTGTTATTGTGAATCTTACTGAATCATGTTGTGTGTTCACCTTTTAGGGACAAGTAACGAGTGTGTACGGGAACAACGGCGTGGTGGAGGACACGGTCTTCTTTAGCCTGGACTCGCTGCTGCTTCCTGCCAACTATCGACCAGCACCAGGAGACTTGGTCAACCTGGTCATGGCTGAAAGCTCCCAGTCCTTCTACAGCTGGAGGGCCCTGTGCATGGCTCCCTGTGGGCCAAGGTGATCAAGAATAAAAAGTGTTTGTACCAAGACCAGGGATGTCAAACCAGTCCTCTAAGAGCCAGTGTAGCTGCAGGAGTTCATTCCAACTAAGCAGGAGCACACCAGACTCCACCTACTTCCTCAGGTCTTCAGGTTATGACGGACTATAAGCTGCTACTTATACAGCGATGCAGGTAATATTTGTGTTTTTGTTGCGGCTGTTGTTATGAGTGTGGTCACAGTAAAGTGGACTTTAAAAGGTTATAACTCAAAAACTTTAATAACTATCATAGATTGTAAAAAAAATATTTTTAACACAGACAAATCAAAGAGATTTTGTGGATAAAATTAAAAGGAAAGATTGACTAATAAATTTTTGGTGACATTTTTAACGACAATCCGCCTCTGATTTGATGATTCTGCTGTGACGCCTGTAACATAGAAAATGAAATGTCCTCAGTCTGAAAAAAGCAGCAGATGAACTCCCACAAGATTAACATGAACATAACATCAGTAAATCACTTCAATTCAAACTGCAAATTTTAATGACCCTTGAAAAATGTGTAACAGACGTGAAGGTTTCCGTCAATTTTTCTCTAAAAATTAAACTTGAGGGGAAAAAAAAAATGCCTGGTTTCACATTTAAGTAGTATGTACTTAAATGTACAATATGAAAGTATCACTTTGTTTCTACTCTGTGTTAAAGAATCTTTTACAAACTTCAGCTCGTTCCGTCAAATCGTTCTTTACAAACGTCTTGACCGTTGATTCTCTGATCTTTGTTGGTGATTTCAGTGGTTTTTTTAATCTTCTGAGATGACTTCCGTTGTGGTTTAGGGCTATACAAGAATACATTTTATTGTATTGTATATACAGGTACATCTTATAGTCCAGAAAGTATCTTAAAGCTGCACTAACTGACTTTATTTTCGTAGTCATTACAAAAATGCTATCCATATCCATGTAGTGCATTGGGAAATACGTCCCTTTGAAGAATAAGTAGCGCAGATTTGTGCTGGCGTGACATTATATTTTAGATCGAGTTTTGATGAAACAAGGAAGAGACTGTGTTTCGGGTCGCGGATTGTGACCAATCACAGCGGACCACTAGCCCCCACTTTTGTGAGAAATCTACAGGTCTCTGTTAGCACAGACGGCTGAGTTAGCACAACAAGCGGCGGAGCTAACCTGAAACTTCACCGGTTACTGCTTACACAGCGAAACAGCCATCCATGGATGTGTAACGTCTGTTACACATCCATATTGGGAGACGCTAGCTTCAATTATCAAGGATGCTGCTCTCTTACATTCATGACACCTTCATCTGTTTTGACAATAAACCAGTAGCTACTGAAACTTTTATGGTGTCAAAAGTCCAAAAACTCTGACAACAGCCCGACTCTACCACGACACAAATGCACATATTAGCCGCATCGCTATATAAGCCTCGGGGATCATAGAAGTAGGAAAAAAGCAGAGGCTTAGTCCAGAAACTACAGTACTGTATTTTTCTCATTAATTAAGAAATGAAGCTGAACCACCATTGATTTCTATGTTCTCTGTTTCGCAGTGAGAAGCCGTCTGTCGTACCGTTCACTGAAGCTGACCTTTTTGTTCTGGTGCAAAACAAAGAAGGAATCGATGTTTCTAATTATGGGGACTTTGGAAATCTGTTGATGGGAGAGAACAGAGAGCTGGTGATTTGGATTCAGTGAGTATTTGGACAGATCGACGCTTCAGGCTTTGATGTGGGAATAGTTTATCTTTGTAATTATTCAGGTGTTGGGTCGGTGGTTTCAAAGCCTAAAGCTGAGGTACCTAACTTTCAAACCACAAAAGATGGAGCTTGTGATACAATCCAACAGGTTCCTCGCTCTCATAAGAATTAAAAGTGACCTAGATTTTACTTTTCCGGCCTCTATCTTTTCAGGAGAAGCGGGAATTTGGGCCACAAATCCATATTATTCAGATTCTTAACATAATGCGAGCAAGTATTGTGATTCGATTCTGCGATATTTTGCGATTTATGTCCCTATTATTATTCAAACTTTGAGGAAAATAAGACTCAACCAAAATGTCACATTCATTATGCTCTCTACATGAACGGAAGCAAACACTGAGGAGGGAAGAGCAAAAACTTCATTTATATATTTATATTCTCTGAACAGACATCACTTAAATTATTCACACAACTCTTTAGTGCCCCTCGAGTGGCTTCTGAGTCTCTTCAAAAATGTCTCAAAATGGAGTGGGAAGGGTATATTTTATTTCTAGTTTCAATGTGGTTTCTGTAGGAGGGACAACATTCTTATGCAGTAAAAATGTGCATAAAAAATATTCAATTTCAACATTTCTGTCAACTGAGATTTGCGTCATGTCCTGCGACGCGCGGTTATGCGGCTGCTGTAGTAAACAAACCGGCGTGTGCCACATAAGTCTGCATAAATCCCAAAGCTACAAAGAGAAGGAGTTGATAAGAACCGAGAACTCAAGGAAGAATGGACTGGAACATTTGCTTTCATTGTCAATGAGGAAGGACTGCTTCATGTTTGCTTTGTGAGAATATATCTAAGAACAAAAAGAGTCATGTGGAAAATTGGCTGCTGACCCCAGTTTGGAGAGAAACGGTGCGATCGCAGTTATTCTGGAGGATTCATCTCCAAACTTCTACTGAATTTTGTTGCAACACGAGGAACAAAGAAGTGCGAAACACCGTTCGGGACATTCAGCTCCAGCAAACTCCAGCCGTGACGACGTGTGACGTGATCGATATGAACAGACAGTGCTGTGATGCAGGTTTGTGAACTCTGATCCAAAAACAGATTTATTTACTGTATTTCTACAATTGCATGAATGCAACAAAAGGAAAGTTAAACTTAAAGCATATATGGTATAGCAGAGTAGTCACATGGTGCGTCACTCTCTTGCAACTACAGTGAAAATACATATAATAATCCCAAATGCATTATTATGTATTTATAACCTATACTTAGAAAGTCACTGGGTTCCGGTTTGGTCAAGATCGTCCCACACCAGGCTAGTTGACATACAACTAAACACGTCTATGCGCACCATCACCGGAACGCTACGCTCTACTCCACTACCATGGCTCCCGGTACTCAGCAACATCCCACCACCACACCTTCGTCGAAAGGAAGCAACAGCCAAGCTATTGGCCAAGGTCCGTACAGACGTTCGAATCCCTCTCAATGCGGATATCACGTCACACCCAGTAGCGCGCCTTACTTCGAGACATCCAGTCTGGCTAGATTCACCGCCAGAGGATTGGACAGCCATTTCGGCATGGAGTGCCGAGTGGTCAACAGCAGATGCTGTGAACCGCTCCCTCGTAGCCGAGCCATCTGCCCGCCCTCCCGGCTTCGACCTGCCACGACAACAATGGAAGACGCTGAACCGGTTCCGAACAGGTCAAGGTCGCTGCGCGACAAACCTTGTCCGTTGGGGTCAAGCCACTGACCCAACATGTAGCTGTGGTGCTCCAGAGACTATGGCACACATTGTGAACGACTGTCCACTGACTCATTTTACCGGTGGACTACCGGCCCTACACCTTGCTGAAGAAGATGCTGTTCTATGGCTAAGCACGCAAAGCAAACGCTAAAGAAAGACCTATACTTACTTATACAAGGCAGGAACGTTTATGCGGCTCCAGACAGATTTGTTTTTTGTGTTTTTGGTCAAATATGGCTCTTTGAACTTTTTGAGTTCGACCCCTGACAAAGAGGAACGTAAACCTCAGATGGAAATTACTTGAATTAATAGAAAACACACAAAATATCGCGATGCTGAACAGAAACAGAACAAATTTCCCCCAAAATGTTTTGTTCTCACAGAAGTGAATGAAAGAGGCCTCAGTCAGTTGGAAGGCAGATATATTCGTATAGCACAGCACGGTGGATTCGAGATCAAATGGTACCAGACTTAATTAGTTTTGAGACCAAAATCTGTGCATCTCTAACAGGTTCTTTTTATCTCACACAGAAATATAGGTTCTGTGACTCAGACGCTGAAGACCTGCGAGTTTGCAAACTGGGACTCTGAAAAGCAGTTCTTGCTGGTAAAGGTCAATGGAAGCAAATTAGTGAAACACAAACCATCTCAGAAAACTGCAGACTCGACACCTCCCGATCCAACTCCAGAGACGAGCAGTGACAAGGAACCAGGAAGTACAGAGGGTTCAAAGGAGATTGTGGCGGGAGTGAGAAGAGAGGAGAAGGAGGTGGAGATCCCCCCTGGAGGCAGGATCTCCATCACTGTGGCCTGTCACCCCAGGTAAGATTAAAGACAAATCATTAAACTGTCACAGCATCGATAACTCGTCATAAACAAGTAGTTTTAGGCAACTTCAATTCAATGTATTTTTGTGTAGCCCTAAATCACAACAGTTTAACACGGATCAGAGAATAAACAGCTCAAACACAAAAAGTGCAATGATAAAAAGCACATTGACCAACGTTCTGAAATGTTAATAGATTAGTTTTATATAGCACTGTTAAATTATAGATGTAGTAAAAAATAATTAATCATCACAATGCTTTGAAAATAGTGACAAAATTCAGGCCTTGCACCTGCTGTTGAATTTTTTGTGTACAATGGTCTTTAACCCTATTTTTATGGAAGCCCGTTTCCGCCATGTAAAAAAAAAAAAAAAGCCTACAGAAAGTCAAAATTTCGACTTTTAAAAGTCAAAATTTCGACTTTTAAAAGTCAAAATTTCGACTTTAAAAGTCAAAATTACGACTTTAAAAGTCAAAATTACGAGTTTTCAACTGCGCATGTGCAGTTGTTGCCGCGTACGGAATGGTCTCTGGGCATCCTTTGCCTGCAAGTTAGCAGGTTGTGTTGCAGCTTTCAGGTCAGTACATTTCTAAGTTGTTGTAGTTCATGTGTGGGATTTAATATTTAAGATGAATAATGCATAAAAAACATCATACATCTGTGTTTACATTTGCGGAGCTATCATTTGTAAAAGTAACGCTAGCTAACAGCGCAGTACGTCTATATTCATTTCATGTACACTTTATTTTAGAATAACAACAACAAATGAACAGCTTGTCCCCAGTCTTTATGTGTGAACCGTGAGCTGTTTTACTTGCAGTTATATAGTTCATCCACTGTGTTATAATTTATGGGAAGGTGGGAACGTACGTGGGGTGGGAACGTTTGTACAGGTATCCGATTTCAAGTCGGAGGAAGTTTGTTTACCCACACTACCTTACTACATATTTACAAACAATCGTAGTGATTTATCTTATGGATTAATAGTATCTATTGTATTATTTATATATTGGGCTTTGGTTCCAGATGTAAATTGGCTATTTTTAAATATGTTTGCAAGTTTCCATTACTGGACAAACGTCTAGCAAAATAATATATATTAATTTGGATTTTGTGTTCCAGTAGGCGTATACTTTCATTCTACCAATTTTCCACTATAAGTGTGGAAAGACCAAGAGATGGAAGAGCTCTGCGATTTTTTAAGATCAAGACATGTGTCTGAAGAGACAATACTCCAAATGGAGCAAGAGAAGGTTGGAAAAATATTCTATTATAATACAAATCAATCAAACATTACCTGAAAGAGAAATGCATATTCTTTTCTGTTTTATTCTAGATTGACCAGAGTGCAATAAAGCTCATGTCTGATGAAGAACTTCAACAGTATCTACCATCATATGGCGATCGTGTTGCTGTGTTTGGATACTGTCGTCGTCAAGAACAAGATCCCAGTAGTCGCAGGTCCAAACTTTTTGAGAGACTCAAAGGAAAGATGAAGAAGAACATAAAAGAACATGTGGATGCAAAACAGCAGCAAGGTCGAAGCAACAATAGAAAAGAAAGCAGAAAAATTGAGCTAGGTTGGCTAAATTATAGAGAGAAAGAGCAATCATTTGTACAGATACGTACAAAAAAGGGAGGTGGAACACGAAAGGAGAGTGTGCCCAAAACGAGCAAAAAGAAAGACTTAATAGAAAAGGCACTACAGCTGTTTTTCCCTGAGGGTGAAAATGCAGAAGGGAATATTTCCGATTTTGAAACTGATTTAACATATTTTCAGGAACATACTTTGCCTGATGATGTTACAGTTGAAGACCTGTATGAAAGAACCAAATTGCCTGTACTGCGGTTTTACTTGAAAACCAAAAAGAAGCAGACCCAAACAGGCATGGATCTTGAGGACCAAAGCACAGGTTCTGAGATGATCATTCATGCCAATATGCAGCCACAACCAACAAATACCTCTGACGTAATCTATGTTGATAGCAGAGAGGAAAATGCTGGTGAACAAGAACAAACAGTTAATCTGATTGACTTGGAGGACAGTGGTATTGTCACTTTTCGCAATGATGGCTCTTTAGAAACTGAACACCAAGTTCATCTTGATGATACTTTACCCCTAAATGAGGATGAATCCTTGCCCTCTGTTCTGAACATTCCTGAAAGTGTGAAATTTATTGTTGCGGTGCATCGAGGCCAGGTTCTAAAAGAGCTAATTCAAGTGTTTGCTGATGAAGATGTCATTAATAAAGACATTCGCTTTAAAGTTATTCTACCAGATGGGAAACTAGAAAAAGCATTTGATGATGGTGGTGTTTTAAGGGATGTGTTGTCCGAATTTTGGAATGACTTCTATGAGCAGTGTACCATGGGGACTGACTTCAAAGTGCCATTCATACGCCATGACTTTCGTAACAAGGAATGGGAGAGTGTTGGTCGGATCCTTGCTTTTGGCTGGAAAAAAGAGAAGTACCTTCCTGTCAGACTTGCTCCTGTTATTCTTGAGCAAGTCATCCTTGGTGTCGTTCAGAGCGATCTGTTGAACACATTTTTAAAGTACTTGCCGCAGTCAGAGCGAGTGATGTTTCAGTCATGCTGTTCAGATTTTGCAAATGTCGATTTGGAGGAATTGGTGGAAGTTCTTGACATGCATAACTGCCGCAGGCAACCAACAGAAGACAACATACAACAAATATTACTCGAACTTGCTCACCAAAAACTAATTCAAGAGCCTGCTTTTATAATAGAGCAGTGGAAAAATGTACTTCACGATATGAAGTCAGAGCTGAAGGGCATTTCAGCTGCCTATGATACCTTACTGCCAACCTCACGCAAAATAATAAATTCCCTGACTTACCCAACAGACCCAAAAGCCACAGAAAAACAAATTATGAAATATGTGAGTGCTTATCTTCGTGAATGTGATCCAGTGCGTCTGTCCAGTTTTCTCAGGTTTTGCACAGGGTCTGATGTGTTCACTGGAAAGAATATTACTGTGTCATTTACAGAGATCAAAGGCTTTCAGAGGAGACCTGTTGCCCATACCTGTGGTTGTTATTTAGAGCTGTCAGTTGCTTATGACAGTTACCCTGATTTTCGCTATGAAATGAACTGTGTATTGGAGAGCAATATCTGGGTTATGGACATTGCATAGTTTGTCTCCTATAACCCTAAAAACGGTCTGTTCTGTTTTGCAGTTATCACAAGATCGTAAGATGTTTCAACTATTTGATTGTGTTTTAATGTAATGTTGCTTTTTAAAAACTTCATTCTTTTACTTTTCATTATTTTGAATGTTGGTTCAGAAACAGTTCACTTGAAGCAGTACCTTTTGTAAGGGTGAAACAATTCAAATAAGCAGTTGGACTTGCTGTTAGCACATAACATTTTGAGAATTAGTGACCCACATTCTATTGTCCATTTGAATGTCACTTAACCAGATTTGTATTCATCCAGTTCACAAAGCTATCTTGTTAAGATATGGCTATGCAATTTCAAATAAACTGGAAAACTATGAACAAAACATAGTACTTCTGTTTGGATTTGCTCTCATCTGATTTAAGTGTTATTCTAAATTGTATATTTTCTACAAATTCAGATTCTATGTGCATAGAACAAAAGAATATACCATGAATGTACCACATTTAATTGTAGGTCAATGCTTAAGTACACTGCAAGTTTTACTGCTGTAACTCAGCATAGATGAGCTCTCTTAAACAAATATAGGTATCAAGTGTGTCATACACATCATTTGAGAAATTTAAATTATGCTGACATTAAGTCCACACAAATTTTGAAGACATCTTCATCACATGGGAAGTCTTTGAAGGAGCATTCTTCAAGGCAGAGTGACACTTTCTCCAGAGGTACAGGGTGTAAATAATCTCGACCCCCATACAGGTGAGGAACACTGTACAAAATGGAAGGACGTCCATGGGGGGATCTTGAATTATTCACTTGACGGACGCGGTGGTTATTCCATGTCAGAGCAATTTCATTAAGTTCATCCTAAAATAAACACAAGATTAGTACATTCAAATGTAAGTGCACACTGTTCTTCCCTGTGACCAATAGATAAAGAACAATTGTTGGGTAATTGTAGCGTTAATTCATATATCAAATATTAACATTAAATATATAAGTATTTGGTTCTTCTACACCAGGTTAGGATAGCGATGTTATTACATTGAAAAGTCAGCTGTTCCAGACGCAGGCAGTCAACCCAACCCTGGGCTGACAGCGTCTGGAAACAGCAGCTGAAGAGACACGTCCCGGTATTAACATGTCTGGTATAGAAGAACCAAATACTTTATTTCTACAAATAAGACAAGATTAACTTTCCTAAACTAACAAATGCCTACCTGTATTAATGCCATAAAACAGAATTGGATCAATGACTTATCCAAAAAGTTGTCTGAAAAGTGTCCATCTTCCCTAAGTTTGTCAAAAAGATCAATCCAAAACTGAACACACTCACTACGAAGGGTGAGCCACCAACGTTCAATTCGTTGGTTCCCTGTGCTTGGACCGAATGTTACGGGGTCTGTCACTTGGTTCGCGGGATAATGCAAAAAACGTTGAAATTCTGCGATATGGCCATTCTCCGTTCCCATGTCAAGCCTGACTCGGGCTGGACAACCACCTGCAGTGACCACTGCACCCATATAGTAGCCAGCAATAATTTTCGGGTCACTGTTTGTTTTGTAGGCTTCAAGCCATAGCATTTTTCTGGAAAATCCATCAATGCACCCGCTGATCGCAATTCCAAAAGGTTTTATTTTGTCATAGCCATCGATGTGCCAGACAAAATTTGGCCCGCGACTGTGGTACACCCGCCTCCGTAGTCGATTTCTTGAGCGGAGATCAACTCCTTCACTGTCCAGTAACCGCATTAAGATACGAACAGTCTCTCTATCAATCACAATGTTGTGCAGCCAGCATTTTTGGTGCATCCATCGATATCCATGGTACTGACCAGATGTTGCCAGTTGATTCTCAATAAATGTGGCCACTTCAGCCACATCCGTTTTATTTTTACGCCTCCACAGGCCGCTCTTGTTTAAAATCCGCTCAACAGTCCGTTTACTTAACTTGACTCCATTGGAATGTTCAAGTAGATTAAGTATTTCATTTGTTGTAAATCCATTTCCAAAGTACTTCCGAACCAACTCCTGAGCCATGTTTATCATTATAAACAGGATATACTTCTTCTTCTGCGATTGAACGCGTAATGCTGCCCCCTATCGATTAAAGGGGGCGACGTATGCGTAAAACTCACAATTTTGACTAGTAATTTGAAATGATGACTTTTAAAAACAATTTCTAAGTGTACTGACCTGAAATCACCAATATCTTCAACATAACCTGCCAACTTGCAGGCAAAGGATGTCCAGAGACATTCCAGACAAGCAATACATACACGGCAACAACTGCACATGCGCAGTTGAAAACTCGTAATTTTGACTTTTAAAGTCAAAATTTTGACTTTTAAAGTCAAAATTTTGACTTTTAAAAGTCAAAATTTTAACTTTCTGTAGGCTTTTTTTTTTTTTTTACATGGCGGAAACGGGCTTCCATATATTTTTAATGTATTCTAATGAGGAAATTATAACATGCACTGACCAATGGGCCCTCTGGTGGTGCAGTGGTGTAATTGCATACACCAATCTTATATCTGTCCCACATGACCACATCTTCTGCGAGAGTTACAACTACACAAAGTATATTTTTGAAGAAACTTGAAAAGTGTACTTTGCAAATACAAAACAGCAGTAATAAAAAAGGGTTTTAGTGCTAACATTTAAAACTGTCTCCATGGTCTCAAACCAAAGTACATCACGAGACATGTTAGTGCCATATGAACCGGCTCGGAGTCTGAGCAGCACAGGGACTGGCCTCCTGCTGGTCCCAGAGTCAGGACTTAACATGGGGAGGCAGCATTTCAGATTTATGCAACTAAAATCTGGAACAGTCTTCCTAAAAATGTGAGACGGGCCTCTTCTCTGACAAAGTTCAAATCCAGGTTAAAAACAGTGCTGTATCGCTCCAAAATCTGAATGATTGTATCTTCACTCTGTTTCAATGTACTGTGATTATTAATGATTTTAAGCACTTTGACCTTGTGTTTGAACTCTGCTGTACAAAATCACTTGCCTTGCCTTAAACCTGATAAGTTTAATGACATAAATGAGAGAAACCGCATGCTTCTGTTGTGTCTGTGTCTCTGCAGGATCCTGGGTTCGTCTGCGGAGCTGCTGCTGCTGCACTTCTCTGGCTTCACCATCGGGAGGCGCCTGGACGTTGCGGTGAGCAGTGAGGTGGAGGCGTTCCTGAAGCCTGTGGTTCCGTACGCTCCACTGGACAAAACCTCCTCCTCTGGTCCCAGCTACAGCCACGTGGTCACGGTGTCGGCCCCCAAAGAAACTCGCAAGTAATCAGCCAATCCAGGGTTAACTCTGAAGGACTATGTCAGTATTTCTCCTCTCTAACCCTACTTTTATGTATATTAGGGCTCTATCACGATATTTGATGTATAATGGGGCCTCTAGTCTTGTTTTTGAATGTATGCAGGAGCCTCTAATCCTATATTAGATCTATACCATTATCTGAAAGCCTGACATGATCTGATGAATGAGCCCTCTGATGGTGCGATGGTGTAACTACACGTAGACATACATTAAAAAATCTTCCCAAATTATGCTGAAGAGAAAATGTCCATGGGACCAAGTTATGAGTATTTCCAATGGCAGTTTTAATATTTACCAATGAATATATGAGTTATTGATTTTGTTGTAGGCCCACGAAGAGGCGTCTGCCAAACTTCCTCCCTGGTTTTCCAGTGCCTCAGGCTCTGAGGGACTGTGTGGAGACGCAGAGTGATGTGTTGGTGACAGACCCCAGTCTGGGAGAGGTGAGGGACACAGGCTGCGGAGACGTATAAAAACATTATGGACACTTATTACAGAGCAAGAAATCATTTATCTCTGAATAGACAACTCTCACATGATGGTGAGCTCCTGCATCACTTTATTCACATACAACACACTAGAGCAGGGGGCGGCAACTCAAAAAGTTCAAAGAGCCATATTTGAGCAAAAATACAAAAAACAAATCTGTCTGGAGCCGTATAAACTTTACTGCCTTTTTTAAGGTTTATATGAAAGCAACACAGGCTGTAAGCTGTATTAGCCTACTATCAAAATGAGTAAGTATAGGCTACAAATACATAATATGCATTCATGATTTATATATATATATATATATTAGGGGTGCAACGGTTTGAAAAAATCACGGTTCGGTTCATTTTTCGGTTCATTTTTCAAAAAAAAAGTTTTGTCTTTTTAATAAACACAGCTCATGTGGACTCGGCTCCTGCTCTGACTGCCCCCCCCTGACCTAGAAATGAATTAAGGAGAAGGAAATGGATGGATGGCATATTCCATCCATCCAATTATGTCTATTTAACATAATTAATGAAAAACAACACAAAGTGCAACATAAGAAGGCACTTTATGAGGGTATTTACCCTCATATATTACACCACCTTCCTGATTCTCCCAAGGAGGGGGTCCATTCTGGGCCCAGCCTCATTCACTGCATTTATTTAATTTTTGGCATTATCAGTTGTGACCAGAATATTAGTACTGGGCCTTTGTCTTCCATTCCTCCGCTGCTTGTGTCAGTATCTGTGCTGTGTGACAGTGTGACTGTCGTAGAGGGGGCGTGTCTGCAGCGCCAGACTTTTCATCTCCCAGTCTGCGGTGATGAAGTGAGCGGTTCCGCTCATGGATCTATTATAGGTTCCGCGGGACGTCCAAGTGTCAGTCGTGAGCGCAGCTGAGGATGCGTGGGAGAGTTGACTTTAGCCCGGTCTGACTGTGCGTAAAGGAGCTGCTTAACTCATTGTGTCCCATTGACGCACAAATACGTCAAAGCAAATAGTAACGTCGTGTGCCATTGACGCATTAATCCGTCAAATGCCTTTTTCGCTATTTTCACGTTCCCAGATGTCTATTGTATCTAATATGTATGGGGATGACTTGAGACCATATTTTATCGAGCCAGCAGGTGGCAGCATTGCTCTCTGAATGGTTTGAAAACATGTAGGTGCACATGTTGTGCCTCTTTTTTCTCAACTTTCTGGTGATTTCTGGTGATTTCAGTAAAACTTCCCTCTACTCAACGGAGGATTACAGGGGAACGAAAAAAGCTATAAACAAAATTCTTTTTGCTGAGGAAAGTAGACAGTCCATTCTTTTAGGATCTGGTGTCGGATTTCAGATAGTCATAGTACACAATATTCTGTGGGTCTTGAAAAATCAGTAAAAATCATCATAAATGGCTGGCACTGTGGGAGTACCTGTTCTGAAATAGGCTGGCATTCAATGAGTTAAACGCCGCGACAACAAGCGGACGTTGAGACGCTTTTTTCACTCATGTCTGTCTTGTGCCACAGTGCTTACACATCGTGACAGTTTTGTCGACTATTAATTATCAGTGTAGTTACAGCAGGGATTAAAGAGTTCCGTCTAGGTGACGGATTTCCGTCAAATGAAATTGGTCTGGAAAAAAAAAATATATATATATATAATATATATATATATAATGATAATAATACACACAATTAAATGATTGATTATAAAAATAATATATAGTAATACATACGGATGGATGGATGGATGGATGACGAGTGGGCCTTGAACGTGCCGTGGCCACATGAGCGCTCCGCAAATGAATCAAGGCAATGGGACGTAGCTGAGCTCACGCGCAAATGAAGAGGCGAGGAAGTTAGCATTGGTAACACGGAGGTGAAAGTTTCTGGAAACAGCACGGAGCTTTTGAAAAGGAGAAGAGGAGGAAAATTGAATCTCGAACGGAGCAATAACAGCAGCAGATCCGCGGACTGGTAAGCTGGGCGCGTAATAGACGAAAGGTAATTAACGTTTACCAAACGCAATGCTAGTTTACTTAACGGAATGTACAAAACGGACTTTGCTGCAACTGGGAATGGGGACAAACATGTCTTGGTGAGCTTTTGATATTGTCTTGTTTGCGATCTTCTTGAAAAACTCAGCGTGATGTAAAAGAGCCAATCAACGAGTCATGGTGCGAAAAGATGAAAGTGGCCGGTGCTTGTTCGTACTTTGCCATAAAAAATTGCATATATGGGAGTAATGAGAAAAAAGTTTTGATTCGCCACCAGCTCAAAACTGCGCACAAGGCAGCTGTTTGTGCACTTTCCCACACTTCATCTTTACCTGGTGCATCAGCAACAACTGACACTAGGCTTGCTCTGGCGGACCGTGTCTGTGGCTTTATCGCAGAAAATAACGTTCAGAATATCACTACCGCTGGTAGATTTATTTAAATCATTTGCAGTTGATCGAAGTGCACTGTGCACCAGGGCCGGAGTGGGACAACATTTCAGGCCGGGAGCTTTTCATCCATTCAGGCCAAACAAGGTTCTAAATTTGGGTTTTTGTCATTGTATTTTGATGTTCTTTTAATAGTTTTAAGATTGACTGTCAAAACTTTTGTTTTCTTTCTTTTTTTTTTATATTGACTGTTTATATAATCTCGGACGTTTAAGGATTGTTGTACGTTGCTTAGCAACGTAACGTTTATGGAGTTTAGTGAGAATGTCTTTTTTCTCACTAAACTCCATAAACGTTACGTTGCTAAGCACACACACACACACACACACACACACACACACACACACACACACACACACACACACACACACAATGAACTAAGTGTTCATTAGTGTATAACTATAACAAGCTAATCAATTATTGTTAAAAAAGTAGTAAGGTAAAATCACATTGTTACAGCTCATATAAAAGGAAAAATAAAAACGTGTATGAACCATCAGTTGGAGAGACCACTCATTTCAAACGGGGAAGCTACACTGGGTGCACTGCTAGGCTGGCCTGGCTGTGTAGCCGACGTGTGACGTCACATTTGTTTAATTTTGCTCTGGCCCAATGACAGTAAAGCTTTGGCCAGTGTTGTGCCAGTTCACAGCTTTTCTGAACTAGTTCAAGTTCAGTTCATACATGCTCAAAGTGAACAGTTCACGTTCGAAGTTCTCAATTTTAATTCTGAACTAGTTCAAAGTTCAGTTCATTTTACTTTTTGCGAGATATTCAAATAAATATTTTTTTTCACTACGAGCTAGAAATCACAATACGTTGTGTGTATATATATATATATATGTATATATATATATATATATATATATATATATATATATATATATATATATATATATATAATTATATATTATATCCTGTACACTGCACAGGGATGTTTTGACTCCAATGCAGACAAGATTTACATGGGTTTCAATGGGAACTGAGTTGTCCCATCTCTGCTCATAAGTACAAACTGTAATGCGCTGCAGAAAGTCTATACTTTATGTCAAATGTAAACGGCCCTGTGTCACTGACTTACCCCTGTGTTTTCATCACGGCACATGTGAGTCCAACAACCAATGAATAGCACTAGCATATAGCGCCGCACCGCAAGTACACTGAGTCGGGGTGCGTTCACAGACGGTGGAAACCGTAGGAATTTTTAGTTTTCGGCGGAAACAGTGCGGAGAATACAGGAGGGAGGAACTTTCTCTCGTTGCGTTTCAAAAGAGAAAACAGATTTCACTCAGTTTTAAATGGAAAACAAATTGTCTGCCGTTCATGACACATAATATGAACTAATTCACGTTCAAGTTTTTTATTAAAAAATGTGTTGCGTTCAGTTCAACGTTCACGAAAAAATGAGCGTGTTCAATGAACGCGTTCTTTTGAACTCGTTCACGCACAACACTGGCTTTGGCCTGGGCCTTGCTCATTGGACCAGGCCACCAGGCAGGGTAGGAGTTTGCAAAGACCGTGAGGATGAAATTAAATTAAAAGAAAAAAAAAGACCGTGATGATAGGGCAGGCCCAGGCCACTTTGACACGCAGGCCACCGGGAGATCTCCCGATGCTCCCGATGGCCAGTCAGGGCCAGCTGTGCACTCAAACTTGATAGGGAAACCTTTTTCTTAAATATTGACGTGTCCACAAACAAATGTGGACAGAATTTTATCGTCCTTTTGCGATATTTTGACGAGGACAGAGCCAAAGTGTTGACGCTCCATATCGCCTCAAGTAAAGCTACTCTCACTAATATTCTGTAAAAAAGTTTACTCGTTGCTTGATCCACTTATATTTCATATCAAAATACACTGTATATCTTTGAAGAATTCATTTGAGCTGTATTCAATATACAATCTATTATACAATAATATATTGTAATTAAAAATATAACTTGGTCCTGCATATTACTGTGATTTACATGTGATAAATTTCCATGCAAAAATTTTCAGTCAAATCTTTTTTTTTTGCTTTAACCCCTGAGTTACAGTGAAGCCAAAATGCTCTCATACTGGGGATTTAAATGACGCGTGGCTTTCAAGCATCTCCGTTCCTCCGCTCGCAATGACCGCGCTGTGTGTGGACTGAACAACGTGCGCACAACTTTTTTTTCATAAATCAAACCGCGGATCACATCTGTACCGAACCGAAGACGTTGATCATGGATCAGTGATGAACCGTTGCACCTCTAATATATATATATACATATATATATATATATATACACATTTTCACTGTAGTGCAAGAGAGTGACGCACCATGTGACTACTCTGCTATACCATATATGCTTTAAGTTTAACTTTCCTTTTGTTGCATTCATGCAATTGTAGAAATACAGTAAATAAATCTGTTTTTGGATCAGAGTTCACAAACCTGCATCACAGCACTGTCTGTTCATATCGATCACACGTCGTCACGGCTGGAGTTGGCTGGAGCTGAATGTCCCGAACGGTATTTTGCACTTCATTGTTCCTCGTGTTGCAACAAAATTCAGTAGAAGTTTGGAGATGAATCCTCCAGAATAACTGCGATCGCACCGTTTCTCTCCAAACTGGGGTCAGCAGCTGATTTTCCACATGACTCTTTTTGTTCTTCAATATATTCTCATACAGGGGCGACAGTAGCTCAGTTGGTAGAGCATTGGCCTTAAGGCCAGAAGGTCGTGGGTTCAATTCCCACCTCTACACCTTCTCCACCTACTCCCACTGATGACTGCTGTTGTTGTGTCCTTGGGCAAGACACTTAACCCCACTTTGCCCAAAGCCCCCGCTGGAAGATCTCAGCTCTTGTGGACTCACCACCCGCAGAGGATCAGTGAGGGGCTGGTGCTATGAGACTTGGGTGGCATCTCTGATTGCCACCCCCCTGACCCAGAAATGGATTAAAGGGTAGAAAATGGATGGATGGAATATATTCTCATTACAAAGCAAACATGAAGCAGTCTTTGACTCAATGAGAGCCAAATGTTACAGTCCATTTTTCCTTGAGTTCCTGGTTCTTATCAACTATTTCCCTTTTTAGCTTTGGGATTTATGCGGACTCATGTGGCACATGCTGGTTTGTTTACAACAGCAGTCGCCCGGCGCGGGGCCGTGTAACCGCGTGTCGCAGGATATGACGCACATCTCAGTTGACACAAATGTTAAAATTAAATATTTCTTATGCACATTTTTACTGCATTGGAAAACGTTAAGAATGTTGTCCCTCCTACAGAAACCACATTGAAACTAGAAATAAAATATACCCTTCCCACTCCATTTTCAGACATTTTTGAAAAGGCTCCAGGAGCCACTCAAGGGGCACTAAAGAGCTGCATGCGGCTCCGGAGCCGCGGGTTGCCGACCCCTGCACTAGAGGCACAAAAAGCAGACAGCATTGAGGAACATAAACCTCTGATGGAAATGACCAGATGAAACTCAAGAGAAAACACAAAAGTGAAACAGACAATTAAAATTACAAACTCAGCCTAAAAAACTGGCTCAAAGATGATCAAGTCATTAATCAGATGTATATAATTGTGTGTTGTATTATTTACTGTATTGTGTGATTAGAGGTTGTATTTTGCTAATTAGGCCATTCTATTTTTCAATTCTTTGCACACTGTAGACCTGCTGTCATGTTGCCTCTGCCCAGGGACTATGGATTAAAATGAGTTTGTATCAATGTCCGGTCTGAACAATACATTTGTTTTGCAATGTCCCTGTCAAATAAACAAATACATAAATATTGCAATATTTAGTATTTAGTTTACTATAAGGATTTCTTTGTGCAAAATTTTCTCTGAACAGAATAGTTTTTCCACCCATCATAGTTGTAGATGTGCTGTAACTGTTGTGATGTTTTGCGCAGACGCTGTCCGCGGCCAACATGCAGACTCGCTTCTCCACGCTGCTGTGGCTCGAGGAGCTTCACGCCGAGAAGGAAATCCAGGAGTTCACCATCAACGGAGCGCTCCTCAAGAAGGGCTCCACAAACCTGCATTTAGAGGTGCTCGGGCTGGCAGAGGGCAGACCCAGCCTCAACATCGGTGAGACAACATTTATGTCCTCAAGACTGAGACACAAGGCCCAAAAGAACTGGTGAAATCCTGGAGGCTGTAGACCCAGAACTGAGGCTGCAGAGCCAGGGCCGAGGCCGCAGACCCAGGGCCGAGGCCGCAGACCCAGGGCCGAGGCCGCAGACCCAGGGCCGAGGCCGCAGACCCAGGGCCGAGGCCGCAGACCCAGGGCCGAGGCCGCAGACCCAGGGCCGAGGCCGCAGACCCAGGGCCGAGGCCGCAGACCCAGGGCCGAGGCCGCAGACCCAGGGCCGAGGCCGCAGACCCAGGGCCGAGGCCGCAGACCCAGGGCCGAGGCCGCAGACCCAGGGCCGAGGCCGCGCAGACCCAGGGCCGAGGCCGCAGACCCAGGGCCGAGGCCGCAGACCCAGGGCCGAGGCCGCAGACCCAGGGCCGAGGCTGCAGACCCAGGGCCGAGGCTGCAGACCCAGGGCCGATATTTTAAAGGACCTGTACCCAGTCTTATTATCCTTAAAGTAGTTAGCAGCAGTCCAATCTCATTCCTTCCCTTCTGACATGATCCAGTCACATAAGCATCACAATAATTGGGTTAAAAAGACATTTATAACTTAGTAATGTCAGCTTTAACTAAATGTTTTTGTACTTTTCTGTTGTTGCAGGGGACAAAATAGTCCTGAAGAAGCCTCAAGGCGACAACACGCTGCTGGAGATCATCAGTTATGTCGCAGAGGTACTGGACCTGATCAGACATTTATTCATATTTTCATAGAGCAGTCTTGGGTCTCATCTTCATCCATCGCTCCAGTCTCTCTCAAATACTCATTCACTCTGAGACTGTGAAAAGGTTTTAGTAAATAAATATAAAGAGGTTTTAGGGACTTCCTTAGAAAATCCTTAATGCAGACAAAGAAACAGAAAATACTTAACCCTTTACGTGCCAGAGGTTTTTATCCAAATTTCGAAAGTAACTTAAAAATGATTAGATTAGTGAATGTTAATTTGTGAAATACTAAGGATGGCCAAAAGTTTAAGTAGGGATTAAAGGGACCCTTCTCATTAGCATATTATGACATCATACGGTGGTGGCAATAATGGATTTGAACAACACGGCCGCACTCGCCTCGCTATGAATTCCGCACTGGATTCAATGCTCAAGGATTTTTGGGCCAGGGAGGTAGTCTGACATGTCTGCCAACTAGTGGCAGTTTTAATGAATTTTGACTCTACAGTGCCTTGCGAAAGTATCCGGCCCCCTTGAACCTTTCAACATTTCGCCACATTTCAGGCTTCAAACATAAAAATATAAAAATTAAATTTTTTGTCATGAATCAACAACAAGTGGGACACAATCGTGAAATGGAACGAAATGTATTGGATTATTTCAACTTTTTTAACAAATAAACTGAAAAGTGGGCCGTGCAATATTATTCGGCCCCCTTGCGCTAATACTTTGTAGCGCCACCTTTTGCTGCAATTACAGCTGCAAGTCGCTTGGGGTATGTCTCTATCAGTTTTGCACGTCGAGAGACTGGAATTCTTGCCCATTCTTCCTTGTAAGACAGCTCGAGCTCAGTGAGGTTGGATGGAGAGCGTTTGTGAACAGCAGTCTTCAGCTCTTTCCACAGATTCTCGATTGGATTCAGGTCTGGACTTTGACTTGGCCATTCTAACACCTGGATACGTCTATTTGTGAACCATTCCATTGTAGATTTGGCTTTATGTTTTGGATCATTGTCCTGTTGGAAGATAAATCTCCGTCCCAGTCTCAGGTCTTTTGCAGACTCCAACAGGTTTTCTTCCAGAATGGTTCTGTATTTGGCTCCATCCATCTTCCCATCAATCTCAGCCATCTTCCCCGTCCCTGCTGAAGAAAAGCAGGCCCAAAGCATGATTCTGCCACCACCATGTTTGACAGTGGGGATGGTGTGTTCAGGATGATGAGCTGTGTTGCTTTTACGCCAAACATATCGTTTTGCATTGTGGCCAAAAAGTTCAATTTTGGTTTCATCTGACCAGAGCACCTTCTTCCACATGTTTGGTGTGTCTCCCAGGTGGCTTGTGGCAAACTTTAAACGAGACTTTTTATGGATATCTTTGAGAAATGGATTTCTTCTTGCCACTCTTCCATAAAGGCCAGATTTGTGCAGTGCACGACTGATTGTTGTCCTGTGGACAGACTCTCCCACCTCAGCTGTAGTTATCTGCAGTTCATCCAGAGTGATCATGGGCCTCTTGGCTGCATCTCTGATCAGTCTTCTCCTTGTTTGAGATGAAAGTTTGGAGGGACGGCCGGGTGTTGGTAGATTTGCAGTGGTCTGATACTCCTTCCATTTCAATATAATTGCTTGCACAGTGCTCCTTGATGTTTAAAGCTTGGGAAATCTTTTTGTATCCAGATCCGGCTTCAAACTTCTCCACAACAGTATCTTGGACCTGCCTGGTGTGTTCCTTTGTCTTCATGGTTCTCTCTGTGCTTTAAACAGAACCCTGAGACTATCAAAGAGCAGGTGCATTTATACGGAGACTTGATTACACACAGGTGCATTCTATTTATCATCATCGGTCATTTAGGACAACATTGGATCATTCAAAGATCCTCACTGAACTTCTGGAGTGAGTTTGCTGCACTGAAAGTCAAGGGGCCGAATAATATTGCACGCCCCACTTTTCAGTTTTTTATTTGTTAAAAAAGTTTAAATTATCCAATACATTTCGTTCCACTTCACAATTGTATCCCATTTGTTGTTGATTCATGACAAAAAATTAAAATTTTATATCTATATGTTTGAAGCCTGAAATGTGGCGAAATGTTGAAAGGTTCAATACTTTTGTTTGTTTATTTTGTATATTTAACACAGTCAGCTATTTTAAACGGGACCGCGTCGTGTCGACCGTGGCGCCTCGAGGGTTGAATATTATTCTTATTTTTAAGCTTTACTTTGAGCACAGAAAGTTCATACACAAAAACAAAGACACCAGATTCAAGTCGTCTTAAATTACACACAAAATCCTTCTCAGATCAAGGTTTTATTGACGCTGTTCCTAGAGTCCCTGTGCTCACAAACATTAGGTCCTAAATTGATTATTTTATGAATTACTATTCATTAAAATTTATAGTAATAGTAAAATAAGTTAATAGTTATACACGTTTTTTTGACTGTTTCTTTCAGATCAACGGTGAAGATGTAAGTTTGAGGGTGAACTTTGAATTCCAACAGAGTTACCTCGGAGAACCTTTAGACGTCGAGTTTTCTTACAACAGGTGAGACACAAGTTTAACCACTTTGCAACAACCGGCGCACCGGCGTGCCGTTTTTATGTTTTTAAATGTTCTGCTGGCAATAGCAGATGTATTTTGAACACCAAACCCCAAAAGCTGTATATCATTTTAAAACTTATTTTCTTATCTACATTTATATACAAGTGTAAACTACATCAGACTTTGCATTCAAAAGATATAACACATAATGTGGGCACAAAATAAATCAATTCCGAAATAGTTTTTTACCTTTGGGCTTGTGCTGTACAAATAAATCAGCTCTCCTCCCAGCTTGCAATACATCATTCTCTCTGGAACAGTCCAAAGGAAAATTATATCCACTTGTATTTCCCAAAGTAAAATCCATTCTGCAGAAATAATCCAAAAATGTGCATTTATCTTTAGCGAAAAAAACGAAAAAAAAGAGCACAGATGTTACTCTTTCACTTTTAACGGACTTTTAGCTTTGTTTTTCACCCACGTAGATACCAAATCTGGTATCTACGTGTTCCTTAGCTCCTTATCTTTCAAATGAGACTACTCCCGAAAAGCTAGACCAATTTTTGGGTCTGCAATAGCTCCCGCAAGTACCGCTCGTGCTGCTGTTTGCGCATGGAGGACTGATCTTTGTTGTGCTCCCAACTTGTTTGCTTTTACTTCCGGGATTTACGATTGACATGTCCTTGTAGCCAATGAGGAAAGCTTTCGAACAAGGGGTGGGACAATGGTGTCCTGTCTTATGTTGTGCCTGGACAATTGTGCGTAATGGAAGCCAAAAGACGCTCTCGAAGCTGCAATGAATTTACACTCATAAAAAAATAACTTTGACATTTAAAAAAGAAAAACACACATAGATTAGTAACTTATAAGTACCAATAATGAAAAATATTGTTTTTATGATGATTAAATGTAAGTAAAGATATTTGGCACAATTCGGCACACTTGTGCCAAATTGTGCCAAATGTGCACTACTTGATGAAAAGGAGAAACTGCATAAAAACTATAAAACTTACAAGTCTGAAACTTTAGACAGTTGTTGTCAACAACACAATGAACAGAGGGTTTGAATATTGTGAACTTACAATGAAGTATGCCTTTTTTAGGGCCTTTAGAAATTGAAAATGTTAGGCGAGGCTAAAAAAATTGGGTTTTTTTCCCTAACTTCAGAGGAAAATAGGAATGACAAACATTATTTTAGTGTTTTTTTACATAAACTAGAAGGCTCTAGCTTTAAAATGATGCATCACACAAGCATGTGAGATGTAAGATGTGTTTTTAAATAAGCAAAGACATTTGGGTATGCCCAACCATTGTGCACGAGCCAAAATGAGGCGGTTGTTAAGAGGTTAAAGAAAACATGGGCTCTTTGTTATACGGTCCATGTTTTTCATTTAAAATTACAATAAAGAACTAAAACAGGCAGTCGAACAATGGACGCCAAAGAGGAGGAACAGTTTTATATCACTGCGCTGCCGAACGGAACGTTTTAAAAGATCCTTTGTTCTTTCGGCTGTCAGACTGTTCAACAGACCTGTCCCAGCCTCAGTCCTGGGTCTACAGCCTCAGTCCTGGGTCTACAGCCTCAGCCCTGGGTCTACAGCCTCAGCCCTGGGTCTACAGCCTCAGCCCTGGGTCTACAGCCTCAGTCCTGGGTCTACAGCCTCAGTCCTGGGTCTACAGCCTCAGCCCTGGGTCTACAGCCTCAGCCCTGGGTCTACAGCCTCAGCCCTGGGTCTACAGCCTCAGTCCTGGGTCTACAGCCTCAGTCCTGGGTCTACAGCCTCAGTCCTGGGTCTACAGCCTCAGTCCTGGGTCTACAGCCTCAGTCCTGGGTCTACAGCCTCAGTCCTGGGTCTACAGCCTCAGTCCTGGGTCTACAGCCTCAGCCCTGGGTCTACAGCCTCAGCCCTGGGTCTACAGCCTCAGCCCTGGGTCTACAGCCTCAGTCCTGGGTCTACAGCCTCAGTCCTGGGTCTACAGCCTCAGTCCTGGGTCTACAGCCTCAGTCCTGGGTCTACAGCCTCAGTCCTGGGTCTACAGCCTCAGTCCTGGGCCTACAGCCTGTCCGTCGGTGGAAGCAGATCCCTCCCTGCGGTTTCTCACTTTTCCACTGGGTTTTTTTCTTGCAGATGTAGAAGGGTCGAAGGACAGTGGTGATGATCCTGGTTATTGCAGTTTCTGTGAATGATTCTCTGATCTGTGTTGGCCTCAGAGATAATTGTTGTGATTTAGGGCTGTAAAGTGGATTTTGGTTAGTTCCCTCTGACTGAAACCTCGTTGTTTCTCCAGGCTGACGTCGAGGAGGTGCCACAATGCACTGGATCAGGTCAAAGCCTTTGCAAGAAGTAAGTCCCATAAGTTACAGCTAATTGTTTGATATATTTCATGTTGTTCTTTGTGGCTGCAGTTCTGTTTCCGACCACAGTGAACGTCCAAGCTCCTCAGTGGACGGGGAAGTGGCTGGAGGAAGCTGAACCAGAGAAGGAGGATGAAGGAACTGAGGTGACAACTGTAGGAATGTTGGGATTATACAGGTTTCTCATACTGTTGTCGCTTCTGCTTTTAGACCAATGTCATGGAGAATGGAGAGATCTCGAGCATTTCTGTGGACATGAAGTCAAAGGCAACACAGACAAAAGGTATTGGACTATATTTGATTACTCGTGGGCTTTGTTGAGAGGTTTTCCAGTTAAGATTATTTAATTATAAATAAACGCCACCCCGTGTTCTGAAGCTCTAAACATTAGTCTTTCAAATGTAACTCCAATAGACTTTAGTATAAACCGTAGACTGTATATCAGGAGTGTGACATCACCATAGTGTTAGCCTTAATGCAGAGGAGGCTGATTTTTAACATTGACAAGCTAGAGCCAATTTGCCTACGTGTTGCTATGACGGTTGCTAAGGCAAGCTGAAGTTTCCCTTGTGAATGAAGGCATCCGATTGGTCAATCTTTTGGCTCATATCTGGATTGATAAAGACAATATCGCAATATATCACCGGAATCATAGAGGGCCACATGAAAGTCAATAGGAGCCAGAGAGCGTTGGAGCAAAACCTCGTCCATGAGCACTTCTCTAAACCCCCAGTTTCAGTAGCAAAATAAGCACAATATACTTGCGTGTGAAAGCCAGATCCTGTCAGACCTCAAAGCTAAGGGCAGGGCCTGGTTGGAACTGTGATGGGAGACCTCTGGGAACACCAGGTGCCACAGTGGGGCGGCTGTAAAGTGCCAAACTGTGGTTCTGTCATTAGGCAAGACACTTCCCCCACGTTAGAATGAGTCTGGTGTGTGTGTGTGAATGGTTGTTGGTGGAGGAGGGGCTGATGGCACAGACTGGTTGCTTCGCTTCTGTCAGTGTGACCCAGGGCAGCTGTGGCTACAGTAGTTGTTTATCTCCATTGTGTATGAAGTGAAAGAATGATGTGTGAAGCATCTTTGAGAGTAAAAAAAAAAGTGATGCATCAGTTTTTATAGAGCAAACTTACTTTTTGTTTCAGATACCAATGTGAATAACTAGTATTCACTCTGGATCACTCAGTTATATCTCCACTAAACAGTACATGGAGATGGGGGTAAACTTCAAAATCTACTTTAAAATCTCTGCCTGCTGTTTCCTGCAGATGGCGCTGTTCCGTCAAAACGTGTTCCCCGTGAAGGCTGTTTTTTCAACACGGTTCTGAACGCGCCGCAGAAGGAGGCGGTGAAGAGAATTCTGTCTGGAGAGTGTCGGCCCACGCCCTACATCCTGTTCGGACCCCCAGGCACCGGCAAAACCATCACCCTCATTGAGGCCATTCTGCAGGTGAGGCCTCTTCCTCCGTCGTCACACAGACTCAAAACACTGCTGTGATGCTCCCAGACACTTATGGACCAATGGCTCTGTGTTTTTCATCATTGCATTTCCGGTGTTTGAACTTTTTTATCCTCTGATCTGTGTTGGCGAATCTAAAACTTTATAAAGTCCTCCAAGATCACTGCTGTTGTGATTTACATCAATGCAAAAATAAATGTAATTGCACTTCAAGAGCCAGCGTTTGTTTGAGAAATGTTTTGTGAAAAAGACTAAATGTGATGCTCTGTAACTGAATAAGAGCATTTTGACGACTTATAGATACACATATAGAAAACAAAGTGTAGGGAGACCTTTCTGTGAAGCCAAGTCTCTGTATAGTTAAACTCTCTTAGAGCTGGTGTAGCACTTCTACTACTTTGGAATGCAATGTCTTAATAACAGAATAGTGCTAGTTTTACAGATTATATTAGTTCAGTTCAGATCATTTATTTGGGCTCAGAGCAACATAGCCTGGTTGTACCACACCTTAGTACAAATGTCATTTCATACTCATAGGTCTGGATTTGCTCCATTGAGCTCCGTTCACAGGTGGGAGGGGTTAACTCCTTTTGCAGATTGAAACGATTGGATCTGAGTTTACTGTGACGTATGTGATGCGCCCGAGTGAGTAGCTAACATTTAGCCTTTAGCCTAGCTTTAGCCATCTCCTTTGCTGCTAACGGAGCCCGTGGGGAGTAGCGCCACAATCTTGACCAGCGATTACATTTGCTAAACATTCCTCTTGCTCCTGCTTCAATTTCTTGATAGAACCAGACCGGATTACTTTACTATCGCAATCTTCACCACTGCCAAACTACAACCTGCCCGTTCGGCGCAAACTCTTGACGTCACCGGCACCGACCTACAACGCGCTCTCTGAGTAGCCGGTCAAAATACGACCGATTGTAATCGCTAACACAGGGACCAGACCCAGACGCTACATGCAGTGAAATGATGATTGAGCGGAGTGTATGGATGGATAAGGCCAGGCTAAGAGCAACATTTACAGTTAATACAACAAAAGTGTTTTAAAGAGCTCAATAGGAGTAGGCTAAGTTAAAAGAATACTTGTAATTACAGACCCCTTCATTGCATAATTAGATGAAATGTAAGTTTATAGAAGAAAAACAAAACATGACAGAAATACCTCAGTGATACAGAAATGGTAAATCAATATATGTATTATATAATAACAGTTTTCCATGAAGTACTTGTTTTATACTCACCAATATAGAGGTATTCTTTCAGATTGAATTAGAATAGATGTTTTTGTGGATTGATTTAGCAGCAAACATTAGCTGCTGACTCTGTGCCAGCCTTCCCTAAAAAGTGAGTGATAGAATGTTGTGTGCAGGTGTACTACGTCCTCCCCAGCAGCAGAGTCCTGGTCTGCACTCCCTCCAACAGTGCAGCCGACCTCATCTGTGTCAGACTCCACCACAGCGGCTTCCTGGACTCTGCCAGTCTGGCTCGGGTCAACGCCTCCTGCAGGCAAGAGGAGGTACTGCACACCTGCCGTGGTTTGTGTTGTGATCAAAGAACCCAGAGTTTCTAACAGCTGTGAGGAGCAGATGGCCCTCGGCTCTGTTCTGCTGCTCTCTTAAATAATAGATAATGTTGTGATGATGTGTGGAGAGCGTTTTCTAAAATGTCACATCAATCTATATCAGAACAGTCCTTGATGAGGCTGGAGGAGGTTCTCCGGAGCTTTCACTGTAGAAACATAAAATAAATGCTCATGTATTTGTGTCACCCTGGTAAAACATGTTTTTGGTCACAATAAATGTGCAAATAGGAGGAAGGGAAAACAAATTGTATCTGTTAATTTTAATTTGATCCTATTTCCAAAACAATATAATGCATTATTGATTAAGTGAAGGATAAATTGCTTCTCTGTTCTTTAACATTCTGAGGTCTGAGCACAAAAAAAGACTAGATTTATAGTAAATGCCTCTGACCTCATCAAGCTGTGGCGCCCCCTGCAGATGAAAGCCAGATCCTGTCAGACCTCTGAGGCTCAGCAGGACAGCCCTGGATAGTACTATGATGGGAGACCTAGGGGAACACCAGGTGCCACAGTGGGGCGGCTGTAAAGTGACAAACTGGTTGTGTCCTTAGGCAAGACACTTCCCCCACATTAGAATGAGTCTGGTGTGTGTGTGAGAAGAGGAGCTGATGGCACAGACTGGTTCCATCGCTTCTGTCAGTGTGCCCCAGGGCAGATGTGGCTACAGTTAGGGGGGGGGATAATCATCAACTTCAAAATTTCAATGCACCCATTTGGGACTTGATTAACACTATAAATACAGGAAATTTGACACCAAACGTATCTCTGTATCTTGAAAATAACCCCCCACCCCTTGAAAATGAAAAAAAGAACCCAAAAGTGCAATTTTCTGCACATTCCGCCCGGTATGCATAAGCTATTCTTACTGTTTGCTTGTATACTGTTAAATAAATGCTTCAAAACTCATTTTGGAATTATTTAACACTATCATTAGAAGATTTGTTACACCTCAAAGTAACTCTATCTTGAAAACAATTCCCCATACATTCTAGGCTGTTACAACCTTTCTATGCTTTTACTGTTCCTATAGTGTACTAAGACTAAACGACTCAATTGGAAAACTTTGGAAAATACTTTTATTAACATACAAAACTCAACCTAAGGTACAGATCTTAGTCTTTCAAGACTTTCTTGGAATCTTTCATATTCCAGTGTGGTTCGGTCACTCCTCTTGCCTAGGTATGCCATGAGAGCATCTCCAAACTCCTGTGCTGTTTTCATCCTCCTCTTCCCACTGGCCAGTGTTACCTGGATTCTGAAGATGGGATCAGCTTTAGGCAGAAGTGTGGTACTTTCTCTGGCAAACTGAACCTCAAGCTTCATTCTCTGCAGCTTTTCAATGTTGTTCAGACTTTGATCCACAAGCAACTTCTCAACTTCCCCGCTGTCAGTGAAGGGGCCACCTCTAGATTTAAGAATGTCCAGCAGGTCTAGTCTCTTCCTCTCTTTTCTTTGAGCCATCTCCTGTTTCTGTTCTGCCCCACACTGGAATTTTGCCTTCATTAGTTTACTCCAATTTAGTTCAACCTCTCGTTTTGCCTGGGCTGCTGCCTTGAATCCTCTGAAGGATGGAATCTGTCCATTCCTAAGTTCCTGGCTCTTTTGTAAAATGATTGACCTACTCACTGCATTCAGTGTACCTAGTTTCTTCAGTCTGTAGTCCACCTTGCCACATTGTCTCTCCATCCCAATGTTGTGCACAGGGGTGCCATCAATATCACCAGCCTGTTCACTGACCGGGTAGTCCATTGGGAAGGTCTCCTCATCAATCCCATAGTCCCTTCTCTGCCTGGCCAGGACTGTCTTCAGGTGGGGCTGCATGAGCGCAATCAGCTTCTTCACCTCATCCAAGTGTTCAGCAGCCACGTCAGACACAGAGTTCAGCACCTCTTCTGTGTAGGTCCTCTTTACGCTACTGAAAAGCTTTTCAGTCACTACAGGATACTCAGGTGTTATGAATGCAGTGTAACTGTCACTGATTGGCTGACCCAAGCCTGTGTGGAGTCCCTTGTAGAACTCCCTGAGCTGAGAATGGGTAGCATCTTTCTCGATGGTTCGGGCATAGAAAGGCTCCACCAAGTGCACACCCAGGCAGGCAAACACCACGAGGACCACCTTTAAGTAGGGAAGCTCCATCACTTCTCTGACGAGGCAGGCCAGACGGTTGTTAATGTGAGGGTTCTGGCTCAGGAACTCTGTTAGATGGCCAAAGTGGTGTATTAGGACGGCTGCTGCCCTTGAGAGACACCCAAACCTGCTGTCTTTGTATGAAAACAGCACACTGGATACCTGCTTTTGCTCAAGGAAGTGGAGAAATTCCTTATAGCGGTTCCAGGGTTTGTGGGCGTACTCAGGAGCCACCAACTTAAGGCACATGTCCAGTGCCTGTCCAGCCACACTGGCATTCTTGCTGTCTACATCTAGATCCACCATGAAACTTTGAAGCACTTGCTCCATCTTCATATCAGCCTCCACCAACCGCATCACTTTATTCATTGCACTGCTGAAGCCCAGTGTAGTGTGGGTGCCACAAAAGATCTGCCCTGCTGGTGTTTCCAAGTTGTAAATCTCTGCCAACAGCTTTGAAAACCCTTTGTTGTGCTCTGTGCTGTCAGTCATATGAGCATCTACAAGTTTATACACATCCTCCACACTGACTCCTCTCACTGACGCCAGTATTTCGAACCCCATATCCACTTGCATTGCTATGTCCTCTGTTGTTTCTTGATGGATTGGTAATATTGGCAAAGGAAATGGGCTGTCTTGACCCACATGTAACCCTTGTACCATGAACTTTCCTACACCTTTCTTTGTGGTGCTGTCCGACGCATGTGTGATCATTTTACCCTTCCCCTTCTCCTCCTCCAGCTTTTCCACAACTAGACACAGACTTTGTGCTTCAATTTGCTGTAGAGCAGCCCTTATACTTCTAGTACTTGGCACGGTATCCTTATCAAAAATCTCATCGCATTCCCCAGCACTTTTCCAACATCGTCCAAACATACTGTTGCCTACTTCAATTACAGCTGTACTCGCCTCAAAGATAGAAAGTCCCTTTCCAGACAGATTGGCTATAGTTGTATAGAATTCTTCCCGGACCTTTCTCTCTGACAATCGGATGTGTTGAAATTCTGGTGGTAGTGGATCTTCATCCATATGTAAGTCAGCAACATCTTTGAAGATTTGTTTCCTCCCTTTGGGCTCTGCTCGCACCTCACTCTGTTCTCCCTGAGTTTGAAGCTGTGTGTCACTCTCAGACATTTGTCTCAATCGCTTTGGGGGTGTGACCTTCTCTTCATCGCTGCTAGAGCTGGATATCTCACCGGTTTCCATCAAGATATCTGTAATTTGATCCAGAGTTTGATATGAGAACTGCTGGTCTCTCTTCCTCTGATACTCTTCGCTCCTCTCCCTCAGCCTTTGGGTTCGCATCATGCTATGGTACCAGACTGGGTCCACACCTTTGGAACAGAACATCCGCCGCTCAGTCTTCTGATCTTCATAATATTTGTGTTCCATTTCACTCATACTTACACACCACTCTTTCTCCAGTGATTGCCGCCGTTTAGGGTCATGAGCAAATACATCAAAAAGCTCAGACTTTGAATGAAATAACTCTTTATATTGCTTTACAGCAAGTGAATCTTCTTTTCCTGTCTGTCCATACCTCTTTTTGCCCTCACTGAATTGTTTCCAGATCCTTTCTAACTTCCTCTGGATGGTGCTCAAGGAGACACAGAACACAGTGTCATGGTAGTACTTGGCGTAAACCTGTTTTGTCACTTCCCGTACTGCCATGGTTGTAGTCACTCTCCCATTGCCCCTCTCTAGGTGGTACCGTATCACGCTTATGACACTCTGCAGTGTAGGGAGTTTTGTAGGGGGTTGGAAGTTCTTGCAGGGAGGAAAGTCGATATCTGCATTATAAATATTTCCAGTAGATCTAGTTTTGGACGAGTGTCTGGGCTCTGCCATCCTTGATGATGTATGATGATGTACTTTTCTGAAAAAGATGAATATTCTAAATTGGATTGAGTTACAAGCACTAGGACTAAGCCAGTGTCAATTACTTATGTGATATCTACTAATTTATTACTGTATAATCTATTTGTCTGGCTAATATGAGCTAACAAGTCAAATCAACTGTTATACTAAGCTAGCTAGCTAAGTAAGTAAGTAAGTAAGTAAGCTTTATTTATATACCGCCTTTCACAGACCAGAGTCACAAAGCGGTTTACAATTGTTATTTTTGGGCACTTGTCTCTCACTCCACACAGAGATGGGAGCGGGGTCGCCGAACAGGAGGCGCATGCCAGACCTATTGTACATATTTTTAGTGGTAGGGGAAACCGGAGTACCCGGAGGAAACCTACGCAGACACGGGGAGAACATGCAAACTCCACTCAGAAAGGCCCTGGTCCGGCCGGGATTCGAACCCAGGACCTTCTTGCTGAGAGGCGAGAGTGCTATCCACTCAGCCACCGTGCCGCCCAAGCTAGCCAGCTAGCTTACTCTTTCTAGCTAAAATATGTTTTAAAAGGTGACTAATTTGGCTGGAACCTGACACAAACCAAGCTCAAGTAATGTATAAAAATATACTATATGCTAAATATTATAATATAATTAGAATATAATGATTTTCCTTTTAAGAAAAAGCAAAAAACATACCTGTGGCGACTGTTGAACTGCTGAAGGTGTTTTGAATGTGATCATCTGCTTGAGGATTTTGAAGGTTCGCTTGAATTAACCAAAAGCCAAAATGTATTTTGTAACTATATATTTATTACAATAGAACTGTCCAACATTTTAGAGGTGAACAAAAACCTTCCCTCTTTATTTTATTTAATATTTGATTTTATTTAATGTATAATATGTGGGAAAAGGGTTAATCCATCCAGTTTTTTGGGTGGGGTGGGGGGTTTTTTTCATGGTAGGTACAAACTTCCAATACAAAATATCTCTCAAATGACCCAATGCACCATCCCTCAAGTGGGTGTAATCATTTTCTATTTTTTTTATTTTTATGCCATTTATCCCCCCCCCCCCCTACTACAGTAGTAGTTTATCACCACCGTGTTTGGCGTGAAAGAATAATGATGTGTCCCTAAAACTACCGTATAAAACCTAAAACCAATGCATAATTATTAATATGATCCATGTTTGTGAGCAGGCGATCCCGGACGTTCTAAGGATCTACTCCAGAGCGGGTGAGGACCTCCGTCACGCCTCGTTCCGCAGGATCGTGGTCAGCACCTGCTCCAGCGCCGGAATGTTCCACAATGTGGGACTGCAGTGAGTCACACTTCTGATTCCACAAATATCTGAACAGTTTCTGCAATAACTGCTGTTGAGACGACGACACAGTAATCTCATATACACACTATTGTAACTTGCTCACACCTTAAGTTAAAGCAAATTCCTTGTCACTTACAATGAAAGTAATTCTGATCATAATTTCATGCTTTTCCTGCAGAGTTGGACATTTTACTCACATATTTTTGGATGAAGCCGGTCAGGCCACGGAGCCAGAAGCCCTGATCCCCATAAGTCTCGTGTCTGAGGTTGACGGACAGGTGAGCATTCTTTAGATCTTGTCTTTAAAATAATGAATGAGAAACAAAGGGAAGAGGCATCAAGGAATCAGTTAAAATTGGCCGCTTTGGCAGAATATTTATCTGTAAATGTTTGGAAAAGTACTTTGAATGGAGTTATTTAAGCGTGTTTTTAGAGGTGAGCAGATATGTGTTTAGCTGTGTATGTGCATCAAACAGTAGGAGGAGAGTAATGAACAAATCCAATACAACTTGAAAATATTGTATACCCAAGTCTCCCCTTTCTCAAGAAACTGAGGAAAAAACCTCACATTTTAATTACACATACATGCTCCCCGTCCAAGGGAAGGACACGGGTCCAAATAGATTCAAACTCTATCCACACCATTTGTTTATTACCTTAATTCAAATTCAAATCAATGTATTTTTTTATCGCACTAAATCACAACAGCGGTTGTCTCGGAGGACTGTTGTTGATTCTCTAATAACCGTTCGAACACAGAAATGCAAAGACAAAGGAGCCATTGGTCCATAGATGGCGACATGACCATTGTCCAGAAATGTTCATAAATGTCCTCGAGCATCACTGTCCTTAGACCCTGCTGCATCCATCATGAATAACTCAAAAACCCAGTGGGAAAAAGTGGGAAACCTCGGGAGTCCCATTGAGAGGGACCCGCTCCTATGTCAGGCTGTAGTTCCAGCTAGGGGTGTAAATCGGTGACCGTTTAACCGGTGGTTGACCGTCACAGCGTTAACCGGTCAAAGCTGTCGATAAGCTGGGCGGCACGGTAGCTGGATTCTGGGTTCGAATCCCGGTTGGAACAGGGCCTTTTTGAGTAGAGTTTGCATGTTATCCCCATGTCTGCGTTGGTTTCCTCCGGGTGCTCTGGTTTCCCCTACCACTAAAAACATGTACAATAGGTATGAATGTAAATGAGAGAGTGAATGGATGGTGTTGGAGCTGATGGTCCAGTGTGTTCTGGACTCGCTTCTGTCATCACCACTCGCTTGATGACAGACTCGCTTCTGTCATGGGCGGCACGGTGGCTGAGTGGATAGCACTCTCGCCTCTCAGCAAGAAGGTCCTGGGTTCGAATCCCGGTCGGACCAGGGCCTTTCTGAGTGGAGTTTGCATGTTCTCCCCGTGTCTGCGTAGGTTTCCTCCGGGTACTCCGGTTTCCCCTACCACTAAAAATATGTCCAATAGTTCTGGCATGCGCCTCCTGTACTGGCCCCGCTCCCATCTCTGTGTGGAGTGAGAGACAAATGCCCAAAATTAACAATTGTAAACCGCTTTGAGACTCAGATCTGCAGTGAAAAGGCGGTATATAAATAAAAACTTACTTACTTACTTACTATCACCGTGTGTGGAAGGATTGGATCAATATCTGACTCTGAACATTGGAAAGCGCTTTGGGTCTGTACCTTGGTCTGTAAAATGCGCTATATAAATAAACATTACAAACATCACATTACATTCAAAATAGAAAAGGGGGAGGTTTCTTAATTACTCCCTTTTCGCACAGTGTGATGGAGCAGGTCCGTCTCTAGCTGTGCTCGCCAATGTGTCGTACCATGACTATGGAAAAGCGGCATTAGTAAACTCCGGGCCGACTTTCATGCCGCACGCGCCACACACACTTTCCCCCTCTTTGACTGATACGTAACATCGACACGCATCATCTTGCGTAGGCTGAGGACCGCATCACTCTCGTCTTTTCTCTCCCCTCTGTTATTTGTCTGCCAAAGTTGCACACTTTAGGGGTTAGAACTACATTGGAGCATACACACACATACTATCGTGCTCTTCCGTGGCACGCACCCCAAAGGATCCTCGCAAATACGCAGCTCCAGTCAAACCACACGGAACATGTTTGTGCTGCTGGTCCTTGGCATCAGATCAGCTCCACACACATCACTTGTATTTAAACTTTAGCGGAGACCTGCGAGACGTGGCTCGTCACTCGCTGCTCCATGTGGACGATCTCTCGTTTGCTGTAAACATTTTTAATCAATCAATCAAATTTTATTTATAAAACACTTTTTGTATGAAAAGCGCAACACAAAGTGCTTTACAGTTTAGTTAAAAACAATCACACATGCCCAGCCCTAAACCCTCCTCCCCACAGACCCCCCCAAAACCACATTTATAATTATATATATACGCACGCACGCGCGCACACACACCCAGTGCAGCTCTCAGTGCAGAGGGCTCCTCCAGAGGAAACACTGGGGACACTAAAACAATACAATAATACAATAGAAAGTAGAACAATAAAATGTGACAATAAAAAGAAAAATGGCAGCTGCCTAATATTGATAATAATAGTAAATGGGTAGATACAATAAATAATTAAAAATAGTAAATAATAAAAATAGAATGTGTCTAAAAACATAAATAGATGTACTAAAAAGCAATAATAAATACTAATCAAAAGCTACTCTAAACAGGTGCGTCTTGAGCCTACTCTTAAAAATATGAATGTTCTCTGCGGCCCTGAGCTCCTCCTCAGACTGTTCCAGAGACGGGGGCCGTAGTGCTGGAAAGATGCCTCGCCGTGAGTGTGTGTCCTGACTTTGGGGATGGTTAGGAGTCTGCTGCCGGAGGAGCGCAGGGGCCGGGAAGGTTCATAGGATAAAAGCAAATCTGAAAGATAAGAAGGCCCAAGACCATTAAGACATTTAAAAACCATTAAAAGGACCTTAAAATCGATCCTGAAACACACGGGGAGCCAATGCAGCGATTTTAAAACCGGTGTAATGTGGTCCCGCCCCCTGGTCTTAGTCAGGGCATGTGCGGCCGAGTTTTGAAGTAATTGTAAACCTGAAATGTTCTTTTTGGGAAGACCAGAGAGCAGGGCATTACAATAGTCAATGCGACTGGTGATAAAAGCATGCATCAGCGTCTCCGTGTTGGCCCGAGAGAGAATGGGGCGGACTCTGGCGATGTTCTTTAAATGATAAAAACCTATTTTTGTGATGTTCTTAATGTGAGGAATAAAAGTCAGCTCAGAGTCAAAGATTACGCCCAGGTTTTTCACTTGTGATGATGGATTAAAAGAGTGTGATTGGAGTTTGGGTAAAAGTTTCTCTCTCTGGGCCTCAGGACCGATGACTAAAACCTCAGTTTTGTCCTGGTTAAGCTGGAGAAAGTTTTCTGCCATCCAGGATTTCAGGTCTAAAATGCAGTTAAAAAGAGCATCCATTGGCCTGGTGTCATCAGGAGACATGGAGATGTACAGCTGTGTATCATCTGCATAACTGTGGAAGTTAATTCCATGTCTCCTGATGACACCGCCAAGAGGGAGCATGTACAGGTTAAAAAGGACTGGACCTAAAATGGAACCCTGGGGCACACCACATGTGATTTTATGGACCTGAGAGGAGCAGGTATCCAAACTTACCATGAAGGATCGGTCTGTTAAATAAGAAGTGAACCATTTGTGGACAGCACCAGAGAGGCCGAGGTGTTGTAGGCGTGATAAAAGAATGGTGTGGTCTATTGTGTCGAAGGCAGCGCTAAGATCCAGTAGAACCAACACGGTCACCTTTTTAGAATCATAATTTAGTCTAAAATCATTTAAAATCTTTAAAAGAGCAGTCTCTGTGCTGTGGTTCACCCTAAATCCTGATTGAAATTTCTCTAAAATGTGTTGTTGATCTAAAAAGGCATTGAGCTGGGTAAAAACAAGTTTTTCTAAAATTTTGCTTAAAAATGGTAAGTTGGACACCGGTCTGTAGTTGTTAAAATCATTAAAATCTAAATTGCTCTTCTTTAGAAGGGGTCTCACCACAGCCGCTTTGAAGGCTGCAGGAAAGACCCCAGTCTGAAGAGAGCAATTCATCAGGTTTAAAAGCTCCTCTCTAAAAGATTCATAAAATGACTTAAAAAATGGAGTGGGGACTGGATCTAAAAGACATGTGGTGGGCCTCACTGAGGAGAAAACTTTATCAAGCATCTCAGCATCAACCAGGACAAAACTGTCCAGTGTTTCCTCTGGTAAAGACAAACAATCAGATGTGTTAAAAACAGTAGTGCGGTTGGATAAAATGTTACATCTGATTGTGTTTATCTTCCCCGTGAAGTGGACTGCAAAATCCTCACAGAGGGAGTCTGTGGGGGTTAAACGAGACATGCTAAAATCAGGGTTTAAAATGGTGTCGATGGTTGAAAAGAGGATTTTTGGATTATTTTTGTTCTGGCTGATTAGTTTTGCAAAGTATTTGTTCTTATGATTTCTAATTGTGTTATTGTATGCTTTTTGATTGTTTTTATATAGTTCGTAGTTGATTGTTATTTTATCTTTCCTCCACCTTCGTTCTGCCACTCTGCACTCTTTTCATACTCCTTACTTCCTCATTTTTCCAAGGGGCTATAGATTTTTGTTGAATGGTTACAATTTTTAATGGAGCAACCTGATCCAGTGTAGTTCTTAGTCTACTGTTAAAATCATTTGCTATAAAATCACAGGGGGCTAAAACCAACTGAGGAGTGTTATTTAGAATGTCAATAAAATTTGCAGCCACTTCAGGGGTTAGACGTCGTTTCTTCACAGTTCTCACAGAGGTCTCCTGTTTAACAAAACCAGTGATTTTAAAAAACACAATAGTGGTCAGAGATAGCCAGGTCAACAACAGAGGACACACCCGCACTCAGGCCATAAGTAATGACCAGGTCGAGGGTGTGCCCTCTGTTGTGCGTCGGCTGTGTGACATGTTGAGTAAAATCCATGTAGTTTAAAATACTTACAAACTCGCAGGTAAAATGGTCTGATGGGTTGTCAAAGTGGATGTTAAAATCACAGGTTAAAACAATCCTATTATAGGATTATTAAAAAGCATTTTTAACCCGCAGCACAGACGAATGGGAAGATTAACAAAGCAGTTCTCTGTGCGCAAAGGTGCCGAAGCTGTTGCAGGTATCGCTCCACTGTCTCGGCTCTGACCCAGTTGTTAGCATAGCTACACTTATTAAAAATACGCGGCTCGAAATGGCTGTTATTTCAAAGAACGTGGAGTATTTTAAACTACGCGGTTAACCCGTTTCAACCGGTTAATGAGGCTCGGTGGTCGGTCATGAAAATTCATAGTTTTTTACATCCCTAGTTCTGTAGATCCAGGATTGAAGCCTAGTCTCCTATTTTTGCAAACATGTTTTATCATTGTAGTCATTGTACTCTCCACTATTGTTACTCTTTATGTCAGCAATACTCTACTCATTCCCAACCACATCATATACAAACACACACACTTACGCACACGCACACACACTTACCCACACACACTTACGCACACAACGTTTCTCAGTCTCCTCCACCCACTCCTGTGTCTCTCTGCTCGGCTCAGATAGTCCTGGCTGGAGATCCTCGTCAGCTGGGGCCAGTGGTGAAGTCCAAAATGGCGTCTACGTTTGGTCTGGGTGTTTCTCTGCTGGAGCGACTCATGGCCAACCCTCTGTATGTGCGGCACGACTGGGGCTACAACCCTCGGCTGGTGAGAGGGCCTTCAATTCAGGACACAGAGGAACCATTACATACTTTCTACTGAGCCCTCGTCGCTCTGCAGGGTCACGGCAACTCAAAATCCTTCATAAGTAATGAAGATCAGGGCTTAATCGTAATATAATGAATGATAACACAGTATAAGATAAGCAGTATGATAAGCAGGATGTTGAAAGAATTGAATTAAGATTTTTTTCATACAAAAGCCTTATTTAAAGCAGATTTTTGTCTTTTATTGGAAAGAAATGTTAATAGAAAAATGGCATAACCTTAAAGTTCAGAGACAATCGTTCATTCTTCTTCAAGACCTCTCTCCCTGGATCCTGCGTTCTTCCACAGGTAACTAAACTGGTCCATAACTACCGCTCGCATAAGGCTCTGCTGACGCTGCCGTCCAAACTCTTCTACGACGGAGAGCTGTGTGTGAGAGCGCCCCCTGCTGTCGTCCAGTCTCTCTGCCAATGGAAAACTCTGCCCAAGAAAGGATTTCCTCTGCTCTTTCACGGAGTCAGGGTAATTACGTGATCGGTATCATGTTTTCTGTAAGAAGTGGACTGGCCTCATAGATCTACATGCTGATATATAACAATCTTGGCTGGCTCTGTTTTAACAAAGGCAGCCTATTGTATTCTGTTGTTGTGATTTCAGGGCACAGAAATGAGAGAAGGAAGTAACCCGTCCTGGTTCAACCCTGTGGAGGCTGTTCAGGTGATGCTCTACTGCTGCCAGCTCGCAAAGAAGCTCTACAACCCTGTGAACGCCTTGGACATCGGCATCATCGCCCCCTACAGGAAACAGGTTGGAGCGCACACGGGACATCCATTGTTCCATTTGGGGCAGGATAACCACTGTCCTTAGAGCGTTGATCCAGGACTGAGGCTGCAGATCCAGGACTGAGGCTGCAGATCCAGGACTGAGGCTGCAGATCCAGGACTGAGGCTGCAGATCCAGGACTGAGGCTGCAGACCCAGGACTGAGGCTGCAGACCCAGGACTGAGGCTGCAGATCCAGGACTGAGGCTGCAGATCCAGGACTCAATATTGTTTTTGAACTTATTTCCAGTCAGAGAAGATCCGGGTGCTGCTCAGTAAGGTCGGCCTGTCTGACATCAAAGTTGGATCTGTGGAGGAGTTTCAAGGACAAGAGTATCTGGTCATCATCCTGTCCACGGTGTGTGCTGCGGAATACAGCTTTAATTCAACATTTACTTAAGTTCAGTTCAGTTTTCTTTAGTTTTGGAAATTGCCATAATAACCATGAATATCACCACAATAGCTCTGCGCTTTTAAGACCAAATCGTGTTATTGCTTATCTCTAGTTATTTGTTTTAATGCCTAATGGCTTCATTAATTTCACGTTCAGTATATTTGTATCACTCTAAATCACAACAGCTGTCCTCTCAAAGGACTTTACAAAGCTGACGCCAACAAACAATACAATAATAACAAACACATAGCAGCCATAGGTCCATAGGGAGCAGGATCACCACTGTCCAGAAATGTTTATAAATGTCTTGGATCATCACTGTCCTTAGACCACTCTGCACCAGAGAACAACCACTCCTGGGCCGTAACCCAGGCCTGGGTACGGCCCAGACTGAGGCCGTAGATCCAGGACTGAGGCCGTAGATCCAGGACTGAGGCCGTAGATCAAGCACATTCAAGCTAAGGCTATAATGAACAAAAGTTGCCCTCTCACGTAAAAGGTTTGGGTGCCCCTGATATATGTAGTCACTTGAATGATTGAATTGAGAATGAATGAATAACCAAATTGTAGAGTATTGGAGCAGGTTAATGTCATGTGGAAGATTCTTGGCCATAAAAACAGCTTTTACACGCACAAGTCCTAGTCTGTGTGGAGATGCAAGGCCACACTATGGACACATGTTTTAGCAGTAAACTATTTTAACCCACATGTCTGATCTGGAGCAGGTGAGTCTGCGAGGCCCTGTGTCTCACACGGTAACAGTAACGGTGAACTTTATAATCATGTAGGTCCGTTCTAATGAATCCGTGTCCGCTGACGACTTGCAAAGCTCTCTCGGTTTCTTGAGCAATCCCAAACGCTTCAACGTGGCCATCACTCGAGCCAAGGCCTTGCTCATCATCGTTGGAAATCCTCACATCCTCATTCAGGTAACACCTTTATCCCAATGGGTCAGAATGTGTGCGATCATTAAAACTGGGTCAGAAAAGCTGTGTTCTGTCTGTGTTTTAAGCTAATTATTAATCATGTATTCCTATTTAACGCAATAGCACAGGTACAAAGGTTAACAAAGGGACTCCAATTCAACTTAATGGAAAACAGTTTACATTTTTCCCTACATTTATTACAATTAAGCAATTTATTCAGTTTTAAGTCTTCACTAAGTGAATATAATTAAAATATAGCAAGAACTTTTTGTTGGAAGGCGAAATACAAACTGCAGCAAGTAAAACATGTCTTGCTGTGGTAACTACAGCTGGTCTGAACCAGTCCAGGACCAGCACCCAGAGATACGCTGCTTTAACTGCCAGAGATTGTTTTCCGAACAACAATTTAATTTAACTCCTCACATTTAAAAATAAAAGATAATTTCATAAAACAAATCGCATTGAAATAAACTCCACATAGTAAGTAATGTTTAGTTATATGGCACGTGTCGCAGAACAATGTCACCCAAGGATCTTTACATGGTTCAGATAATTCTTTCTGTCCACTCGGTGATGACAGAAGCGAGACTCGGAACACACTGGACCATCACTATTTACATTCATACATATTGTACATGTGTATAGTAGTTGGGGAAACCGGAGCACCCAGAGGAAACCTGCGCAGACACAGGAGAACATGCAAACTCCACTCAGAGAGGCCCTGTCTTAACCGGGATCCAAACCCAGGACCCTCTTGCTGAGAATCAAGAGTGCTAACCACTCAGCCACAATGTCTCTCTTAGAAACAGAAAAATTCAAAAGGTTATGAAGACCAACAATGTAGACAGAGTAAACTATTCTTCCAAAACTAAAAACCGTCAAATTGACTGCTCTGGAAGTTCTGGTGTTATAATCTCTCATCTCATCCTTGATTCATCCCACAGTGGGGAAATTTCAATGTTGCAGCGCACATACAGGACAGTAGAAAGAGACACAGGGAAAACACACAACATACAATATAAGTAGCTGCTGTGTTTCTAAGCTAGCTGTAAATGTTTCAATATCAATCATTCTATCTATATTTGTTATTAATCTCTATTAAGGACACAATACAATACGATCCCTAGTTGAACGAAAATATCCAATACACACAGTATATTGCATATTGAAAAAGAGATATGTACAGGAAAACCAAAAGAGAACATTACAGCTTCTGTACAGTATAAAGCCATGACCTCCAGCAAGTCCATAATGCAAAGTTAAGTATAAATAGTGCAGCATAACATTCAGTGGACATTCTGAAACTGCAGTATTGCACATTATTCGATGTTGCTAGCTTAGCCGTAGCACCAACTCGAAACCACTCCCCCCTCCCTCTCCACCAAACCACCTGAAGAAGATGACATGTCTGGGATCGCGTCTTTAATTCAGACAGAAGACATGTTTTATTGTCAATGGTAGAGACAGCACGAACAAAGCACACGATCACAGAAACAACAGAATGCAAGTGTATTATACAGAGCGGAGGCATGGAGACCTCCAATCAGCAGCTGCCACAGTGCCATGTAGCTTGGCCTTCAGAGGGAAAAAGGGAAAAGTACTGGCTTCTGCACATTGATAGAATGATGAGTTTAACTTTAACAAAAGTTGCTTGAAAGTGTTATGAAATCTCACACAAACATCCAGCATTTTCTTTGAAGCAAACGTGAAATTGGCATTTTTTGTTGTGCCATTTTAGGTTTTAGAAAATCCGATAACTCTGGGGCACTTGCAAGAGACAGGAAGAGGGTGAAGGGGGTAAACATATTCCATTGGTTCATTTTTATCAGTCCACTCCATAATATATTTTATACATTTTTGGAGACTATAGGAGTAGTAGTAGTAGTAGTAATCTTTATTTATATACCGCCTTTCACTGCAGGCCAGAGTCTCAAAGCGGTCGCCAGTACAGGAGGCACATGCCAGACCTATTGTACATATTTATACTGGTTGGGGACACCGGAGTACCCGGAGGAAACCAACAAACATGCAAACTCCACTCAGAAAGGCCCTGGTCCAACCGGGATTCTAACACAAGACCTCCTTGCTGAGAGGCGAGAGTGCTAACCACTCAGCCACCGTGCCGCCCAAGGCATCTGGTCAATTTCATTACTATTACTATGATGACTTGACTTTTTTTAGGGTTTAGGGACATTTTCCCACAAATGTGTTTGGAAAAAATCACTGACTGCATCTTTAAGTCTAAATAAACTCAATATGTTCCACACAAACCTGCGTCTTCAGTCCGAGTTAACAGCTTTCTCTGTGTTCTCTAAGGACCCGTGCTTCCGGTCTCTTCTGGAATACAGCTTCATCAACGGTGCATATCTGGGCTGTGATCCGCCCTCGTGCCTCAAAGAGACTCCAGTGTATGTTTACAGTCACGACCCCAGTTACTTTCTCTGCGTCACCTTTGTGCACTTCTTTATCCATAACTCATGCTACTTTTGTTTTGTTTTTCCTCTGACAGATTTACTGAAGCTGCCAGTTCCTGAGAAGGCGCCAGTTTATAATCTTAATTTTACATGTACATATTGTTTGTATAAAAGTCTGCTTTTCAAAATAAATCCTGGGGTCTTGTGCATGGCATCTGTTTGTTTCTTTATGAGGACTCCTGCACAATAACTTTACTTCTGGACTTTAAGGCGCACCTGTATTTAATAACTTCATGACTCTTTCACCGTTACTGCTAATTTACACAGGAGGTGTTACAGCACGTACGCGTTATACGTGCAGCAGACGCGTGTAACATTTTTACATGTGAACCAATGGGGATATTTGCACTACTAGTGTTATACGCATGTATGACGAAAGTATGGCGCGAGGCTGTGTCTAATTTAGGATGGATTTCGAATTTTGTGCACGCAGCAACGCGTCTTCCAGTCAAAACACATAGGAAACATATTAGCTGTCCTTGGCTCTAGATTGCATCCATACACGCACGTACGCAGGAGCCGCAGGTTTTACAGTGATTCTGGACATTGTTTTTTTTTTCCACTCATAAAGTCTGGCGTCTGGCCAAACCAGCGCACAGAGACCATGAAGACAAACACATTTGATTTGTTACTCTGCATCAGTCCTCCTGTACTGTCCTCTACACTCCTCCATAGACTACACAGGGACAGCTTCATAAGCCGCAGACCTGCGCTCACGGTCAGTGGACACAGCCGAGTAATGTTACGTGCATTTGTGCGCAGTTAACGCTTACTGTGGAAATTAGCTGTTAGCTTCCATGACTCCTTTACCGTTGCTTAATGTCGTCTTTAAAGGTGGTCCTCAGCTCCCGTTTAATCTCCTTCTTGTCCCTTATCAACCACTGTATTTCAAGATGGCACATTGACACAGTCCTCAGCCTCATGGACATTTATCAGTCAAATTCTAAGTCTATGACAACAATTCGAAAACATGGTGGGGGTAAATATTAAAGTCACAATTTTTATTTGGTTAACATGTTTTTTTCATATGGAGCAACTGCAAAAACTGTAGAGTACCTTTTAAAAAAAATTACAAAATCCAGTTCTTTTAAATTCCTGATCTCATTACTTATCGGATGACTTTTAGTACTTCCACCCTTAGTAGTACTTGCAGTATTTGAGAGCCCTGGTGTAGATCTTCTCATGTGTTGTCTTCCTCTGTCCTGGAGACTGGATGTGACAATCCAGTGCTACTGTCGGTCTGCAGCAGCCTGTAGTCCCAGTGGAGCCCCCCAGGGAAAGGACGGGGGCTGTGGGGGGTGGAGAGAGGATGCTAAAGACGACAAGGCCCCTGTGAGTCTCTTTGAAGTGTCATTCAGCAGGTTTGATTCCCTGTGGAAGAAGGAATTGCAGTGGAAAGATTTTAGCTTCTTTTTAGCGGTATTTTGCTAAAACGTTTCTTAATTTTGCGAAAGTCTTTGAGCCCGACATGACATCAGTCATTTCCAACTCATGATACATATTTCCTTATTTTAAGATAAGAGTTCCTTTATTCGTCCCACAGTGGGGAAATTTCGATGTTGCATTGCACAGACAGGACAGTAGTAAGAGCACACAGGGAGCACACACAATATATACAAATAAGTATTAGCTTTGTTTCTTAGCTAACATAACTAGCTGTAGATGCTGAAAAAGCTTCAATACCAGTCAAAAAATATATATGTAGTAGTGCAGTTATATACTGTACAGTTAAATAGTGCAGGATAATAAGTATATAAGTGACATGAGGTAAAGTGACATTGGGCCTCATTCACGAATAACTTCGTAAGAAACTACTCAACTTTCTTCTCAAGTTGTCCTTAAGTAGATTTCTAAGAAGTCCCCACGTGGGATTCATCAACGCACTCGTAAGCCGCTGAATTGTTCGCAGCTGTTCTCTCAGATTGATGAATCCCATTTCCTCGTAAGTAGAGCGCGCGTGCCAGGTGCTTCATTAGCATAGGTACTTAGCATAAGTAACCGCCCATTAATGCCCATATAAGGGACTGCAGGGCCGTGTGCAGACGGCAGAGGAAACAGCAACAGGCCTAAAGCAGAGTTACACGGAGCAAAATAGTCACCCTTTTTTCTTCCTTTACCAGACTGAGAATAAAGTTATAAAATGTTGACTTAAAAGGCGAAATATTATGATAATAAAGTCGAACTAGCAAAATTATGAGATTAATCTAAGAATATGATGAGATTAATCTCAAAATGTTATGAGCTTAATTTAAAAATATATTATGTATTATTTTAAAGATGAATCTCAAAATGTTTTGAGATTAATCTCAAAATATTTTGGACCTTGGGAGGAGATCCAGCGCGGACCAGCGCTGAGACCAATGCAGACCCGAGGAGAGACCGGAGTGACCAGCACACAGAAACCAGCGCGGACCTATAGGAGAGACCGCATAGACTGGAGTGACCTGACTGGAGAGACCGGTGCGCAGAGACCAGCGCGGACCGAAGAGAGACCGCATAGACCAGACTTGAGAGACCAGCGCGGACCCGTATGGATCCAGGAGCATGCAGCACGGACCCGTATGGAGAGAGACCAGTGCAGACCCGTATATGGGAGAGACCAGTGCAGACCCGTCTAGATCCATGGGAGAGACCAGTGCAGACCAGTATAGATCCATAGGAGAGACCAGTGCAGACCCGTATAGATCCATGGGAGAGACCAGTGCAGACCCGTATCCATGGGAGAGACCAGCGCAGAGACTCAGCGCGGACCCAGTAACCTCCTGCAGCAGCAGTATATATGCCGTTGTTCTGTGGCCCGTGGATAAAGAAATGCCCCCTATAAATAGGATGGGGTCTCTAATACACGGCAAGATTTCCAATGTATTTGATAAAGCGTTGGCACATTTCATTTCAAAATGAATTAAAAAGTAGGCCAGATCTGCAGTGAAAAAGGCGGTATATAAATAAAGATTACTAATAAAGATTACTACAAATAAATAAATACATACATCGATATGACGGACATATCACTGGAATGTTGTATTTTTATTCAACTTCACCAAAGAAGACAACCCCGGCGTGTGAACATGTCGGCACTGAATGCGTACGAGTGCTCCTGAGGACTCGTAGGATTTGCCCAACAGAAATTCTGGTTACGAGAAATATTCGTGAATGCCACTTTCTTCGTAAAAACCGCGTAAGTAGGATTTACGTACAAATCTGTTCCTAAGAACCGTTCGTGAATGAGGCCCAATGTTCTGTGACATTCTGAAGTTGCAGTATTGCACATTGCACATGATTTAAGAATTTACTTAGTTACAGATGAAAATTTACAGGCTCAGCAGTTCTTATTGTACAGTCTGACAGCAGCAGGAAGGAAAGACCTACGGAACCTCTCCTTCACACAGCGAGGGTGAATTAGTCTGTCACTGAAACTCCTTCATTCACTTTTTCTCATTAAGGCAAAGTTAATGCTTGTATCATTTCACACTTTGAATGAAAAAGTTCATCAAACGTCAGTATTTAATATGATTTAATAAAAGTATAACTTCAAAACAACATTCAATAGATCACACATTGACAATCATAGCAGATACACAATCGGGTAGTTGTGACTTGTACAGCTACTGTAAGTCCCATAGGTCAGCAGTACAATATATATGCAGCTCAGATTCCACATGTTTATTAGCTTTAGCTGAACATTAAAGATCATTCCACACAATTATTTTAATAGTTCTGCCTCTTGTTTCAAACCGATGCAAACCTCAGATTATAGACTTTCAGGTTTGTCTTTTAGCAGATGGTTGAAGGAAGAATGTGTTGTTGCTCACTCTCTTTGTGAACTTCTTGCTCCTTTCAGTCTTGTCCTTTGCATCTGAGCCCCACCCTCTGCCCAGCTGCTTTATACATAACAATGTCACAGGCCGATAAACAAACCGATGCAGAAGAAAGTGAAATGATGCAGAGGTCTGGGTTTGTGTCTCAGCAAAAACATGAGGCAGCTCCCTTCCATGTAAAATGTATCTGATTACTTAGTACTTACTTTAATACTGACTTCTGCAGACTGTTGTAATCACCAGCTCAGGCTTAACATTATTATTGCACAAATTGATCCATAGTATCTTCTGTAAATGCCCAGACACCGTTTTGGGATGAATTTGTTCCAAAAGTAATATAGTGACTGTAATGTAAGACTCGGAACAAAGGTCTAAAACGCTACTTTAACCCAAAATTAAATAGTTTTGCTTCTATATTCTGCCTCCGCGAGATCATTCGGAGAACACATCTGCCCCAATAGTATTTTTATAGAAGTCTTCCTTTCTGGTAGAAGACGCAGAAGCAGCACTATGTGGACAATAGTACATTTTACAGATGGACCGAGAGAGAATAGCGAGAGACCAGAGAAAGAGAGAGACCTTAACACGACCAGAGACCAGAGAAAGAGAGAGACCTTAACAAGACCAGAGACACCAGAGAGACTTTTAAAAGACCAGAGAGAGAAACCAGAGAAAGGGAGAGGCCAGAGAGAGAGACAGAGACCTTAGAGAGTACATTTTACAGATGGACCGACTCATTATTTAGTTTTTTTTAAAGATGAAAACATAACAGTTAAGTTTATGTTCAAACCAGAAGCTCTATCAACCTCACGCTAGCATCAGAAGCTACATTTACTTTGTGTTTCTAAGTTTAGTGAAAGAAACTTCAAAGTAATGCAGTAGTAGAGTAATGCTTTACAATTCAGAGACGGTGATATTGTAGAGTAACTTTGAAATAACAGTAACAAGTAAAAGTCTGTATACATTTTTTGAAGTAACTTTCCCAATTGTGATGAAGACTTGTACAGTATTGACCTCAGTCCAGTGTTCAGAGCGGTCGTGTTGCCTTTTATGTGGTGTCTGTGATGCAGGTGTCTAACTACATGTTGTTTTCACATGAAGAGGAGGCAGGCCACACTCAGGACAGACTTGCTGTCTACTGCTGCACTATTAGCCTGAACAACAGCCCCCTGCTGGGCTCCTGGCAGGGCCCCCATGTTAAATGTAGGGGCCCATTGTTAACCCAAATTGGTTTGTGAGACTAATTGCCCTGTTAGTCCCTTCTGAAGCTCTTTGCTCGTCTGTTTGAATGAGAGGCATCAGACCGACTTGTGAAAGTTTGTGTTGGATGGAGCAGGCCCCAGACGGGACTGGCCCGTAGGGCAGACCCCAGTCTCCAGTCCAGGATAGGCACCTGGTCCTTGGGAGAAAGTCTTGAAAGACCTTGGGGCGTTTAATCCAGATTCACATCTCAACCTGGAGACAGACAAATGAGATGGGGCTCTTAATGTGTCTCAAGAACCTTGTCTCTGAAGTCTGAAAAGAGACAAATGAGGAGCTAACGGAGCGGTCTGCTGCACTACTGTAGCTTTTGAAGATGATCTGATGGAGATAGCATTAGCATTAGTGGCTATCAACGTCTCAAAACAACCAGAACATATGGACTGATTCTGACGTTTTATAATTATTTTAAATGAGATTTCTGGAGCTTCTACTTAACAAATGTTTATATCATTCAATTTATTTTTGTATTGCTACAACTGTAGTTAGAGGACTTTACAAAGCTATCAATTCGCCAACACAGATCAGAGAATCAAACAGTTCAAACACAGGAAATGCAATGATAAAAAACACACAGCCATTGGTCCATATTGGGCATTATGTCCAATAATGTTTCATACTTCAAATCTCCATGACCATAATAATTACATAAACCTTATGTATGTAAACTGTGAATCAAATCATGATAATAATTTTAAAAAGTTAAGTCTGATTACAGTAGTGGTGGGGAAAGTAGTTCTGCGGCCTTTAGTGCACGCAATCAAATCAATACAGTATACATAGTTCCCACAGACCAATGAATGTCACATGACCTCCTCGGAGACGCCATCTTTGATGGCACGCTGCTGTGTTTGTGCATTCCATTAAACAGAAGAATGAGAATAAATGTAGATATTCAAACGCAAATTGGAAAAAAAAGGGCAACTTTTGAGCAAATAATTGTATATTAATACAATGGCACCACAGTTTTACGGACATGTTTTACATATTTGATCAAATTATGCAGCAAAAATTAACAAGCAATGCAAACATTTCTCAAAAACTTTAGATTTAATACCAGTTGGAGCTCCATTTAATTATTTTAATTATATTAACAATTAATTTAATTAATGCTAATGCCACACGGACACTCTGGATTGCTGTTATTGTTTATTTCCGCGTTTTTGACCGTATGTTTTGGTGAATGGTGGGCAACTGATTTTTCCAGGCGTAAAGAGCAGTTTATTTTATGACACAGATCTTTTTACAGAAGCAATGCTGTTTGTGAACATTGTTTTAGCCCACCATAGAACTATTATTATCTATTTAATACATTTACGTTGCCCTCGAGAGCCTCGGACGCGACACCGATCCTCCTCATAATAAAGTAATCTAACGCTAAATAATGAAACACTCAAGTTACCAGATATCAGCATACACAAGTTAGTACTGAGTAAATTACGTCTGTCAACACATTATAAGATACGATACGCACCTGACACAAAGTGCTCCGAGCATATTCTTGCGTGTTTTGAGGGAGTTTCTTGCCTGTTTATCTTCGCAAGCCATAACCTCCGTGGTTGTTCTGACAAAAGCTTAGTCTTCTCACATTCATGAAGTCTAATGATGGGTATACTGTAAAATCCAAGTTTAACGGAACCTCCGGCACGATTTGAACATCCATTGACCCAGCAGGAGATGACCATTTTCAACTTTATCACGACATTAACACGTTTCAGCTTCTTTTTCTATTGTTTTGCCCACAGAATGCCAAGACAAATGGCGCCGGGTCGGCAAATCCCCGTATGTAGTGACGTCATGTGGGAACTATGTATAAAAATATTGCAACATTGTTTCACCGTTTTCTATGGTCATTTCCATCTGAGGTTTATGTTCCTCTCTGATGTCTGCTTTGACTCTAGTCTGTTGTACATGAATAATGTCTCTAGCTAAGAGGCCAGAGCAGTTGTGGACTAAACTGGGAGTATGTTCTTTCTGTGGTGAGATAACCGTGTATATGATATTGTGTTGGTGGATAGACAGACCGGCAGTCTCCATCGGCCTCCTTCATTCTCCTTCAGTCTCCTTCAGTCTTCCCCGTGTCCTGGTTCCTAATGACAGCTCTCATTAGCAAACGCCTGTCCTCTGCCTCAGCTTTGATCTAAGCGTCACACTTCAACCACACTTCATAGTCCTCGCTCATATGGATAAGACATTGTATCTTGGGTTACACATTTATAACATTAACCTTAGTCCCAGCTGCCTCTCCCATGTCAGGAACTGTTTGAGCAAAAATTTGTCTTGATATAGAAATACATTACATTACTTTAAAACTTTGGATCCCTCGCTTTGTCACTAAAACGTATACATTTTTCAAAGTTTCTCAGACGCGCGGCACTTTCTTTATTCCTATAGGGAGAGGGCGATTATAGGAATAATTCTATTTTAAAATCAGAGCCTCAGAACTTTTCCTTTGTCCTCCACATTGTTTTCCCACGGCTCCTCGACGAGCACCTGATCTCTCACGTCTGTTCTACATTTCTTTCCTCTTGTAACTTCTCAGACTTGTGTCAAAACGTTTATATCAAGGGGATACTGGACTCCCATTCCTGACAGGGTCTCGATCTCTGCCCTGTATCCACGAAACGGGAGATAACTGACAAAGCGTTTAGTATTAAACACAATCAATGCAACCCTCATGATAAGATTTACCTATAAAATCCTATAATTTATTCTTAGTCCAAGTCATTTTACTTTTATTTTTTCCAGTACTATTTTTTCGGATACTAATTTTGATTCTTAGTATAGACGTTAGATTTTGAACTAATGTAAAATGTGTACCTTTTTTATATATACATAACATGTGAGCTAACGTTTATAATGACCGAAGAAATGAACAAATCAGGAACTTTTGTTTTATCTAACATTATCCAACTAATAAGCATCCATAGCCCCCTTGCAGTCTACTCTAGCTTCTCCTAAATCACACACACACACACGCCCTCCTCCTCCCCGTGTCTCCCGTCATTACCAAAACAAGCAGTTGTCTCCCCAATTATCCATCGTCTCTGCTGCGTCTTTGATAGGTACTTGATAAGAGACAAGCTGACTGATTGGCTGGCTGTGCTGCCTGTATATAAGGGCCCACTCCGAAGCCCACTCCTCACTCAAACTCAGACTTTACTCTCACCACCACCTCCACTATGGCTCCACTCCTGGCTGCTCTCCTGGCCTTGCTCTGCCCTGCCCTGGCCTTCGACATGGGCCAGTCCACCCGCTGCGTGGCCATCCCAAACCAGATGAGGGTGTGCCAGGACGTGGGCTACTCGGAGATGCGTCTGCCTAATTTCTTGGGGCACAGTAATTTGGAGAGCGAGGTGGTCCCGCGCTCTGAAGACTGGAGGCCTCTGCTGCAGACCGGCTGCCACCCCCAAGCTCAGGCCTTTCTCTGCTCGCTCATCGCTCCCGTCTGTCTGGATACGTGAGTTTGATATTTTACCTTGTACAACACTACACACATTATCTAGTGCTTTATCTACTGTTTATTCATAAGGAAATCCCATGGACAAGTTTAAATAGAGTACTTGGAGACTTCAAATGTCCTGGGTTCGAATCCACCTGTAGGCCTTTATACTGTTCTGCTGTGTCTGCGTAGGTTTCCTCCAGGTGCTCTGGTTTTCCTACCATTAAAAACATGTGCAATATTTGAGGGCTTGACTCTGGTCTCTCTCCTGCAAATAAGTGAAGAGATTTATGGCACAGAGACATTTGTTCACTGAGATTTTCCAGAGACACGTGCAGCTAATACTGGAAAAAATGTAATGTAATCCTTTTTGATATAATTATTTTGATTACTAATGACTGTTATCTACATTTGTCATATAGATTCTGTTATGTTTCTTATGTTCTTCATTATTTAATCTTAAATTCAGACGTGCAAAGAGTCCATACAACCCAAAAACAGAATTCACAAACATACAACATTTACACAATTCTGTAAAGACAGTTTCTCCATTGCCTCCAGAGTTCAGAAGTTTACCAAAGACTATCGATCATGTGACAAGTCTTTCTGCAGTATTTTGTGATTGTAACGTTGTGTGTGTGTTGTGTAGCTTCATCCAGCCGTGCCGCAGCCTGTGTGTGTCTGTGAGGACCAGCTGTGCCCCGGTCCTCTCCTGTCAGGGACACTCGTGGCCCGAGGCTCTGGACTGCGACAGGTTCCCCGACGAGGACGACATGTGCCTCTCCCCACACCCCAAGTTCACGCTCTATGGCAAAGGTACGCACGCTTTTATCGGATTTTATAGAGTAGTTGTAAAAGTCTGTGTTACATTTTCAGGAAGATGGGTCAGGATTTTAGCTGCATTAATATGAATCACTGCCTCCCCATGTTTAGTCCTGACTCTAGGACCAGCAGGAGGCCAGTCCCTGTGCTCCTCACAGTCCAGTAGTTTTTAGTCTTACTTGCCTTTAGAATATGGTTTATGGTAACAAGTGTCAAATATAATTAAGAGAAAATATCTGATGTTTGTAAGAATGGACCTGAATCATATGAAATTCTGTAAAAATTAAATAAAAGAATTTAAAAGGGTTAGGCAAGTTTTACTTCTACTTACTCCTTTCCGAATTGTGTATATGTTTGTTTGTTTTGTATTGTATAATAAATAATTCATAATTCTAAATAAAGACTACCACTACTATTACCTGTTTGTTGTTTATTGCTTTTGCAAAACCTAAAACAGAACTTTTTCCTTTCTCCAGATTTGCCCAAACCTGCGTGCCAGAACTGCCCGTCTGTAGAGCATTCTCCGGCCATGAAGACTGTGCTGGACTCCTTCTGTCACAATGATTTTGGTGAGTTCTGGTGAGACCATTGACTACTGCATTTAGACTGAACCTCACAGCTGGACAAGTTTGACAAACATAACTCATTACATAATTACAGAAATATGAAAAAGCCAATTTCTTACTTGTAATGACAAATGAAAGCTACAGCTGTTGGTTTGATTTGCATTTTCATCTTCAATCAGTCGGTAAATGCATTCCCTAATTCAAGCTTTGTGCAGCTATAAGACAACACACACAAGTAATGATAGACGGGCCGCTTTCCCATGTACCCATGTCTGTTTTACGAAACAAAATGAACTCTCTCTGGTCTCTCCTTGGTCTCTCTCTGGTGTCTTTCTCTAGAGTCTTTCTCTCTGGTCTCTCCTTGGTCTCTCTCTGGTGTCTTTCTCTGGTCTTTCCTTGCATGGCGCCGTAAAGATGGCGCTGTGGCAAGAGCTCTGGTGTGCGCCGTCTTCTCTGTCTGGTGCACACTGGGGTAGTCTTGCACAGTTTTTCCCATGTGGTTTTACTGCAAATGGCAAAGAAATGAATCTGAATATGAATCTGGTTTCTTTCTGGTCTCCTTGGTCTCTCCTTGGTCTCTCTCTCTGGTCTGTCCTTGGTCTCTCCTTGGTCTCTCTCTGGTGTCTTTCTCTGGTCTCTCCTTAGTCTCTCTCTCTCGGTTGTATCTCACTGTCTCTCTCTCTGGTCTCTCCTTGGTTTCTCCTTGGTCTCTCTCTCTTGGTCTCTCCTTGGTCTCTCTCTGGTCTCTCTCTCTGGTCTCTCCTTGGTTTCTCCTTGGTCTCTCTCTCTGGTCTCTCTCTCTTGGTCTCTCCTTGGTCTCTCTCTGGTCTCTCTCTCTGGTCTCTCCTTGGTTTCTCCTTGGTCTCTCTCTCTGGTCTCTCTCTCTTGGTCTCTCCTTGGTCTCTCTCTGGTCTCTCTCTCTGGTCTCTCTGGTCTCTCTCTCTGTTCCGCTCCATGTTTCCTCCTACCTTCCCTGTCTTGTCCTCTGTATGTTTTCTGCGTACTTGACATTAAGACTAACCACGTGTCCCTTTTCTCTCACAGCCGTCACCGCCAAAATCCGCCGCCGCCGGGTCCCGTCAGCGGAGCCAGAGTTTGACATCGAGGGCCGGGTAGAGTTCATCCACCAGGGGCCGCTGCTTCCATACGACACGCAGCACTTGCTTCAGCAGTGGCTCCTCATTAACCTGAAGTGCTCGTACAGCCTGGTGCGTCCGGGTCGCTCCCAGCTCTACGTCCTCACGGGGGAAGTCCAGTCCGACGGCAAACTGGGAATGACCCACATCTTCCCCTGGCACAAGAGAGACCTGAACATCGCCGTGGCAACGCGCAAGTGGAAGCATCACCGCTGTTGATGAACTGAACGTCCTCTAGATGTGGCTGTGAAAACTTACCAACTTAACGTGACGCTACTTTGATGTTGTTTTAAGCGTTAGGACTCGGAGCTGGACTCTCAGGACTAACGCTAACACTGCTCAGCACACAGGGAATAATGCACTTGTAAATAGTTTGATATATTGAGTATTTATATTCTAGTTTTTTATGTTTGTGGTGACAATAAATGTTTTAAATATATACATAGTTCTTGAGCATTTGTTGTTTTTTTGATTGGGACAGTGCATGTTACTGAACACATGAGCACAACACACACTCATTTCCATCCATCGCCCCACAGCAGTCACAACAACACTCTCATTCACCCAGTTTTTAGTTTTTAGTGCTAGGGGACAGCGGTTTACTCAGATGACACTAATGCAGACACGGGCCGAACGAGTAAACTCCACTGCTATCTACTTGACCTCTGTGCTGCCCATACAAATAACCCTTACCCATTGCCACAATAATGAGATCAATGGAGTAAAATCACTACTACTTCGACCACACACACTCACACACACAGCTCATTAAAAAACCATGTGATTAATACTTTCATAATGCTTTTTGTGCAAATGCATTAGCCGCACGAGCCTAACACAAGACTTAAAAAAATGCTTTTTGCTTTCAACCTTTTAAAGCAGTTTTCAAGAGGAAAAAGGCGCCATAAGAAAGCATTGGATAATTCTGTTTCCTGTACACCACCACCAGCAATGAGCCAGATGGAAGGCCTGTAAGCGCATGTGCTCGTGGACACCTCTGAGCCAGGACCTGCCCTCTCTGACTCAGGATTCAGGATGAGTCGGAGGAAGTGTGTGAAAAGGGAAGTCTGGGCGTCTCTGCTTAAACTGCTGCCCCTGTGTTTCGGCAACGGATAAGGTAGAAGAAATGACCGATGATTAACCAAACAGTCGTTGGCAGAGTTCTGTCGCTGGGTGGGAGGAGGAACTAAAACCCCACTCAGTTTCTCTCTGATCTCTCTCTGGTCTCTCTTTCTGGTTTCTGATCTCTCTTGTCGCTCTCTGCTCTCTCTGGTCCTTCTGGTCTCGCTCTGCTCTCTGTTCTCTCTCTGCTCCTTCTGGTCTCTCACTCAGCTCAAACCGCTAAAAGGCTGGAGAACTAACCACTCTCCTCCTGTGTGGTGTTGGCCACATTGTGTCTGCTGTCGTTTGTCGTAACTTGTCTAACTTTTATACTAGTATTAGAAACCATGAACACACATGGTCCTTAATGAAGACTGGTGCCCCGCGGAGAAGACCTCATCAAAGTCTTACAAATGACTGTTGACAAAGGCCAGGGTTAGAATGAGGCGTACAAGTGGAGCTAATGAGAAGACGAATCACCCACTCTGCATCTGAAAGAGTGTCGTTGCCGCGGTGACCGGAGCTCTGCATATTCACACTGCGGCGCCTTGTAGCACTTTGTCATAAATGCACTTTATTTCGAACCTCTTTCACACATGGATCTCCCTCGACAAAGCCAAAAACACACCCAACTGTGGAATCCAGTGAATGTGCATTTGAGAGAAGTCCCAGATGTAAAGTGGTTCACTGTTTAGCGGGTTTTTGTGTGGTCTCTTTGGTCGGTCTTTGGTCTCTCTCTCCTCTCTCTGCTCTCACTTCTCTGTCTCTCTCTTTCTATTGTCTCTCTGGTCTCTCTCTCCTCTCTCTCTCTGAACTTTGCTCTCTCTGGTCTCTCTCTCCTCTCTCTCTCTCTCTCTCTGATCTTTGGTCTCTGGTCTCTCTGGTTTCTCTCTGGGTTCTGGTCTCTCTGCTCTTTGGTGTTTGGTCTCTCTCTCTGGTCTCTGGTCTTTGGTCTCTCCAGTCCCTCTCTGGTCTCTCTGGTCTCTCTTATGTCCTCTCTGGTCGCTCTTGTGTCCTCTCTGGTCTCTCTGGTCTCCTCTCTGGTCTCTCTTGTGTCCTCTCTGGTCTCTCTCTGGTCTCTCTCTGGTCTCTCTCTGGTCTCTCTCTAGTCTCTATGGCATCCCTCTGGTCTCTCTCTGGTCTCTCTCTGGCCTCTCTCTAGTCTCTATGGCATCCCTCTGGTCTCTCTCTGGTCTCTCTCTGGTCTCTCTCTAGTCTCTATGGCATCCCTCTGGTCTCTCTCTGGTCTCTCTTGTGTCCTCTCTGGTCTCTCTGGTCTCCTCTCTGGTCTCTCTGGTCTCCTCTCTGGTCTCTCTGGTCTCCTCTCTGGTCTTTAATTAGACTTATAATTAGTTTAAGATACTGTTTTAAACCGTATCTGTAAAAAATCTTTATTTACAAATGATCCAAGTATAAAAGATCACAACAATATATTTACAACATATTCCAAAAGAAATATAAAAGATTCTGTTCAAACATACATGGAATGCTTTACACAAAAGTCAAAATTCTGAAAAATAACACAATAGTTTTTAAAGATTAATGCAGTTTTTTATATTCTGTACATTTATATGAAACGTGACAATAAAAAGTCATTATTTTGAACCATTTGAATCACAACTCGTTGATTGACTAAGCAATTATCCTACTCTCATTATTACTCACTACTTTGGTTAGTCCTAAAGGAGCATTTACATTTGTCTCTGGTCTCTCTCTCTGGTCTCTCTCTGGTCTCTCTCTGATCTCTCTCTGGTCTCTCTATGGTCTCTCTATGGTCTCTCTCTGGTCTCTCTCTCTGGTCTCTCTATGGTCTCTCTATGGTCTCTCTCTGGTCTCTCTCTCTGGTCTCTCTATGGTCTCTCTATGGTCTCTCTCTGATCTCTCTCTGGTCTCTCTCTGGTCTCTCTCTAGTCTCTATGGCATCCCTCTGGTCTGTGAGATTTCATAACACTTTGAAGCAACTTTTGTTAAAGTTAAACTCATCATTCTATCAATGTGCAGAAGCCTGTACTTTTCCACTTTATGTTTTGTCTATCTGAAGGCCAAGCTACAAGCACACCGTGGCAGCTGCTGATTGGAGGTCTCCATGCCTCCGCTCTGTATAATACACTTGCATTCTGTTGTTTCTGTGATCGTGTGCTTTGTTCGTGCTGTCTCTACCATCGACAATAAAACATGTCTTCTGTCTGAATGAAAGACGCGATCCCAGACTTTGTCATCTTCTTCAGGTGGTGGAAGGATGCGGGCCTTGTCTGTAACATCTACAGAACAGAAGACTTTTTTTTTTTTACACAAAAAGTGTTTTTTTTGTAAGCCAAAACTGAAAAACCTCAAGAGAAACCATGCATCTGGATCAGCACATGGACAATCTGCACAGCCCCTGATTCCAGTCAGGCTGTGAGCTGCTGAGACATGGACAAGACCATCGTCCTCTTTTGCATGGACATCATTTGGAACAATTGGATTACACAATTTGGACATAATTTGGACTGAATTGGATTGCTGAATCTGGACACTGAAGCTGAAACGTGTGATTTGAAAGACACGTCACAGAAGAATTCATGGCTCGACACAAATGCAGCCTGAAGAAACCAACACGGAGAAGTGGGAGAGACTGTTTTCAAAGCAATATCTGGAACCACCATCGACTGATGAAGTTTGGTATTTTACTGAAGAGTATTGACAAGTTTTATGAAAGATCCGAACATGTTTTATGAGTTTTTGAAGTATTCCGAGTTCTGAGTTTTTTGAAGTACCGAGTGAAGTACCGAGTTTATGAATTTTTGAAGTATTGAGTTATGATGTTATGTTGCTGTTTATCGATCCTGATGGTCACACGGGAATGTGTGACCAGAGGGGGGAATGTGAGATTTCATAACACTTTTAAGCAACTTTTGTTAAAGTTAAACTCATCATTCTATCAATGTGCAGAAGCCAGTACTTTTCCCTTGTTTTGTCTATCTGAAGGCCAAGCTACAAGCACACCGTGGCAGCTGCTGATTGGAGGTCTCCATGCCTCCGCTCTGTATAATACACTTGCATTCTGTTGTTTCTGTGATCGTGTGCTTTGTTCATGCTGTCTCTACCATTGACAATAAAACATGTCTTCTGTCTGAATGAAAGACGCGATCCCAGACTTTGTCATCTTCTTCAGGTCTCTCTCTGGTCTCTCTCTCCGGTCTCTCTCTGGTCTCTCTCTCTGGTCTCTCTCTGGTCTCTCTCTGGTCTCTCTCTGGTCTCTCTCTAGTCTCTCTCTGGTCTCTCTCTAGTCTCCCTGCAGTCTCCCCATACCCCCCAGTCCTGCTCCTGTCCCTCATGTACAATTGTCCGTGAGGCCCATCACAAAAGTCTTTTCTCTGATGATTTGTTTGTCTTTGTGCTGCTTCTCTGTGATTCTTCTTCTTCTTGAGCTCGAGCCATGAGTTCGTCCATCGGGGATCGACTGCTGTGAGCCTCCTTCTCTTTGCAGTTCCTCCACTTCATTCTGCGATTCTGGAACCAGATTTTGACCTGTGAAAAAGACACATACGTATACGTTAGCTCAAGGTGTTATTGTGTTATTATTATTATTATGTGTTCTAACTTCACTCTTTTGAAACAATGTCAGAATGTGCAATTTAGAACCACATGTGTCACTGTCACTTTAGTCCCAGAGCGTCATACGGCTAATGTACAGATGTAAACATACAACTATATTCTTTATTATGTTAAAGCTAGGGATTTTATACTAGCTTCTTTATTATGCTAAAGCTAGGGATTTTATACTAGCTTCTTTATTATGCTAAAGCTAGGGATTTTATACTAGCTTCTTTATTATGCTAAAGCTAGAGATTTTATACTAGCTTCTTTATTATGCTAAAGCTAGAGATTTATACTAGCTTCTTTATTATGCTAAAGCTAGAGATTTTATACTAGCTTCTTTATTATGCTAAAGCTAGGGATTTTATACTAGCTTCTTTATTATGCTAAAGCTAGGGATTTTATACTAGCTTCTTTATTATGCTAAAGCTAGGGATTTTATACTAGCTTCTTTATTATGCTAAAGCTAGAGATTTATTTACTAGCTTCTTTATTATGCTAAAGCTAGGGATTTTATACTAGCTTCTTTATTATGCTAA